CTGAAACTCCACAGAAGACGTCATGAGTGAAAGTTTGACGTCCTCTCAGACTCTGAGCCACATGTGCTCTGTAAGCTCCGACTCTGTACACATATGGTTTGATTTAACGCTGTGGAAAGATTAAATAGGAAACTTGGGGGAGCGAAAAAGAGCCGTGTCCTTTCAGATTATAAAATGTTAGTGCGTCTCTCGGAAGCTTTTATCAGAGTCACAATTCGTCCTGACTCGATTGCTTTGTGTGTCTGGATCAGGACCAAGTTCATGTGGTGTTCAGCAGGCCGGGCCAGCTCTCCTTATGTTTTAAGATCATGATGCAATCCTCCAACCACGTTAACATTAGGTCAGAAAAATCGAATCATAAAGCAAAAAATAAAAATAATAAACAGAGTGCATTGACGTACATGTAAATGATTGCAAAGTACAGATCTGCTACCAAATAAAGTTACGATGGTGTGTTTAACATTTTAAACCTATATTTAATTAAGGGTAGTGCAAAGACAGCATCTCAGATGTTGAAACTGAAATTTTAAATTCAATACTCCAATGCACTTTTAGAAAAAGCCGCAACAGGGACAACTAAACTCTGATATAGTTACGTAACACATAAAATAACAACATGGGGAAACATCTCCAGCCTAATAAAGTTCAAGACTCAGCCTGAAAAATGAGTCTTTCAAAAGGAAAGGTGGAAAAAGATTCACCTCTTTGTGAGAGACTGCGTGAGCAAATACTTGACAATTTCAGGATAATGTTCATTTGAGTAAAATGTCAAAGAACTTGCAGATTTTATTATTTACAGTATATCTTTGCATGGGTTTAAATCACCTCCAAAAACCATCGCCTGTGAGGATAGTTTGGATCCACAAATGCAGGTTAAAACTGAGATATGCAAAGAAACAATATTAGAGATGTGATCCAGGAACATAAGCAACTTGCCTGAGCCCATTGAAGATGGACTCATAACTACATGATACCTTCAAGGATATATTTCACCAAGATGATACTAAACCACACCTTCAAAGTATTGCAAGGGCAGGGTCCTGACTTGTTGCACATCTAACGTATATAGCATGTTGGAACCATTATTAAGTTTCTTTTGCTTGCTTCATTTCTTGTTTCTATTCCTCGGTTCTTTGCACCGTAAAAGGGCATTTAAGTAAGCCCAGGTAGTGAGCCAGGTGTGGAGGGCGGAGCTTTACAGATTTTTAACCGTGTTGGCTTTGCAGCAGATGAACTTTCTCTTTGTGTTGAATGAAAATAAATGGGTCACCATACTCAAAGAAAGAATATTGAAATCTTGTTTTTTTTTTATAGTCACATCACGCATCAGAACTAGTTCTAGCTCTTCACCCATTGGAAGTCAGGTGTATAGTCTCAGTGGAAAGATTGTACATCGCATGTGTTAAAATGAACAAAATGAAAAACATAAAACAAAACACAAAGGAAATGTTGAATTGTTGGATGGGATGATATTTGACTGTAAAAGCTCAGGAAAAGGGTCTCATCAATTGCTCAATTGCTTTTTACAGAGTACTGTTTGAAGGAGAAGTGATGATAAGCATGCTCCACCCTCAAACTTTTCTGTGTAACCATGATATAGCAATTTTTTTTGCAAGTGTGTAAAATTTACAATAAGAATCAGAGCCAAACCAAACAGTAAAAAAATTAGAGATTGAAGACTTTTTTAACCTAAATTTTAAAATACAGAAAAAATTCAAGGATTAGGTTAAAAGAAGTGAAACCGAGGTGTTAAGAATTAAGTCAAATTATAAAAAAGGAAGGAAAAATTGATAATTAAGTAAAACATCATGATTGATTTTAAACATGAGTTGAAGTTTTTATTTTTTCAAAACAAAGTTCGCCATCTAAATAAAGTCAGACTGCTGAGAGTAGATTTCAAATTTGGAAAAAGGAATAGCATAAGAAAAAAGAAAACATGTTAAATATTTCCATTTTCCCGCAAAGCTCTCCAAATATATAAAAAAGTGCTTTCTCTTTATTTTCCTCGTACTTGGCCTTAATCATCTTTAGTAGAAAATGTGTCAGCCTAATAGTATTAACTCTCGACTTCATGCCAAAAAGGTTTCCTGAGGGATCATTGTGACCTTTGACCAAGAAAAAAAAAGTCAGTTTATTGTTGGGTCCACACAGAGTTTCGTGAAAATCTTGGCAGATCCTGCTGCAGTTTTTGGCACTTTGGCATGAGAGTGTTTCTGAAACTGAACGTTTTTGTCGAAAGCCTAAAAGGCTGAATCATGAAACCAATCAACCAGCGAGTAGGACAGAAAATATTTATTGGTTAAAATGTTTTCACAGATACAAAGAATGAGCTGTTGTTTTGCTGTCATGCACTTACACTGTACAACAGTGGATCCCCGTGGATTTACATCGTCTGTTCTGTCAGTGGAAGAATAACCAGAAGAACCAGTGGTGTGATGTCTGGTAGTCTGCACTGTAGTGATTCTGTGTTATAAAATAAATTAGTAACATCATATTACATCTCTATCACCGAGATCTCAGTGCAAACGCCATCGTAGCTGAAAGATCCGTGTAAGTACCGACAAGGTGATGTACATTTTTAAAAAGTACAATGAAATGAAAAAAAAAAAAAAGCCCGGGTTGAGATTTATCCTAAAGTTTGGTATTTGTGGAGCTACATTGGCATTAATTAAACTGACTAAATATTAGTCCAGATCTCTACGCAGTCTTCTAAAAACTCACATTTTCATCGTGACACAGTTAGCTTGATTTACAGTACTAAATATCTATTTCTCAAGCAGCAACGGTTACATCGAGACTGAAAAACATCCTACAAAAATCATTCACTCAAATATGAAAACAGAAAATTATTCTACTGTTTCTTTTCACCACTGACAAGATAAAAAAAAAAGAGATCACACTTGTCCAATCAATGACAGTAATAAAGCCTTTCTTTATGGGACCCACACAGACCCTCACACACATCCCCCTTAAAAAAAATTAAACAAAAAAAACAACCACAAAATGAAACAAAACAGCACATATATTCAAAGTTTATCAGGAAACAACAGTCCTCACTGACTGACTTTAGAAAAACTGTCAATAAATACACAGTTTGTGGGGAGTTAATGTTGGATGTTTTCTACTGGACAGTAGTCAATTCTTACTTAGTGGTACGTGTCCCACACAAGCCAGGCTATAAATACTCAACCTTTGTTAAGAATTCTCCCAAAGGCACTCACTGAACGTCACACGCAAAGGATGTGCTGTCGCTGATTTGTCGAGACGCTAAAATGAGATCTAACTGCAAGCTGGAACTAGATCATTATAATGTGAAAATAGAGGGAAAACGCAGCATTACCACAGTTTTAATACACAAATGTACTATTTCCAGGTCTGGGTTTTATTTCAGTTGTCAAACTTTAAGCCATTTTTCTTGGCAGGAGACACAAATTAAAGGGAAATTCTCCAAAATTGGGTATCGTAATGGTTTTAAAACGTATATAAAAATTTCAGAAAAGCTCCAGTAGATTTAGTCAGCCTGCAGCAGTAAAACAGGCGGTAATGGTTGCAACTTAATCCATGAGACACCCACTGAAGTTCTTGTTGTTGTCATTGAAAGGTTTAGATTGTTATTTTAAGTGTCTAAAACCATATTAAAATGATCCCTACGAAGATAAAGCTATTTGTTCAAGAAGATTTTAACTCCCCAAAAGAGACACCAGACTACATTGATTAAAAAAATAAAAAAACACAGTCATTATTGGCCCCACAGGAGTTATTGGTCCACAACTGCCTCACTCTCTAACTTCCTGTGTTTTTTTATGTAGTGGTGGATCATAGGGAACCAATTCTCTCCTGTATATTATGAAGTGTAGTCTGGTGTTACCTCTTTTTCTAACTCTTTAGCCAACGAATTTGCATATGGCGTTAATCAGGCAGGCCATGAGGTGCATGCATCAGCTGATCTCCAGATACCTCCTTAACATCCAACTGACAAATGTCAAAATGGGTATTTTATTTCAACTGTTTTAACCAGTCTTTTCCTGCTGATTCCTCTGCAAATTGTTCTGCAAACCACCTCCATTTGTGTCTGATTTTAGTGTCAAATGGGTTTTCTCCAATGCCTGCTGGGATCTTTGCTGCTGCTCTCCCCGCCTTGGCTTTTTCATGTGCACATGTCACAGAGAGATGGTGTGCTCTCCCTACCTCAGACTTTGTCATCCCTCACTCATAACTTAACTTGTGAGGTTTCAAATGGTCATGACTAATCTGTTTGTAATGTGTCAGACATTAAAAATAACCTTTCAGTGGAACAAACAGAACATACAGTGGATGTACAGTGGATCTATTTTGATTAACATCAGTTTCCAGCCAGGATTACCTGCAGAAACCCAATTCTTCTCAGAGATTTGTTCCTTGCCTCACTGGACCTTTCTTGACTATGTTAGTCTACTGTACAGGTACATTGCTCAGTGATAAACAGTGACAAAAAAAAGGAATGTATTTGAACAAGCATCAGGCTAGAAGGTACGATTTATCTGCTGAAATGTTAAGAAGACATAAGAAGGCACCCTGTTTCATATTTTCACCTCACCATCAGATCTCAGCTCTGACAGTGGTGAGTAAAAAATGCTGTTCCCAGAAGACAAAGTGTTAGGAACTAAACATGAGAGTAAGTTGGAAATTTTCCTTCAATGAAACCTTTTTTCTCCAAATTGAAACCAAACCAGATGGTCCTTTTTGTTTTCGAACTGACATGGCTGCCCCCCACCGTCAGTCCCTTGAACCTTCTTGTACGTGTTGCGTTCTCTTAAAGCTGGTTAGCTCCACTAAACAAAACGGTAAAAGTCATTGAACAAATATTTGCAACTTGTACCTTTTAACAGTGTTACATACAGGTTTTAATGTCTCTCTGATCGACTAAGAGTCTCTATGCTGATGACAGTGAACGAGGTTAACCCCAACTCTTCGACAAGTGTTTCCTGACGCCAGGTGGAGGTGGGAGGCTTGAAGAGAACTCACACATCCAGGTCGTCCGGCCTGGCCCGGCTGCTCATGCGACTGCTTGCCCGGCTGCAGGGCCGAGCGTCCATCAGTGCCAGCGGCTGCAGCTCGTGTCCTGCTGTTGATGACAGTTTCTTGTGCTCGACGGTGTCATCGGGGAAGTCAAAGGCCTGTGCGTGGGAGTTTGAAATCGTGCTTCCTCCACCGTTCTGACCGAGCCGGTTCTGCTCCGTGGAGTAGTTGGCCCAGTTCTGCTCATTGGCCTGCTTGTTGTAATTGCGGCACGAGCCAGTTCCCCGCTCCCCCGTGGCCAGCTTGTAGCCTGGGGGTGACATGGGTGAGAGTGGGGCAGTGGGGGAGGAGCAGCCGTTGTAGTACGCGTACTTGGCAGTGGTCAACTCTTTAGGGGTGGGGCTTAACGTGCCCCCACTGGTGTAGAGGGTGGGCTGCTGTTTGCCCTTCACACGGTCTTTGATCCTCTTGAAGAAGACGTAGAAGAGCTCGATGACGTTGAGCAGCAGCGACACCAGAGACACCACCAGCATGAAGATGATGAAGACCGTCTTCTCCGTGGGGCGAGACAGGAAACAGTCCACCCTGTGTGGGCAGGGCGCTCGCTCACAGGTGTACACAGCAGCCAGGCTAAAACCGTACATGTACCACTGGATCACCAGGAAGCCCACCTCGAATATGGACTTGAAGAAGATGCTGAAGATGTATGTTCTGAGCAGAGCGCCCTTCATCTTCACTTTGCCATGCTCCTCAATGCCGTACTTTAACTTTTTCATCTCCAGTTTCTTCAGCGGGATGTCAACATCACCCCCGTCATTCTGCACGGCTTTAAGCTCCTCCTCTTTCCTGTTGAACTTCTGCTCCTTCCTGTTCAGGTAGAACACGTGGGCCAGGTAGAGGAGGGTGGGCGTGGACACAAAGATGATCTGCAGCACCCAGAAGCGGACGTGCGAGATGGGGAAGGACTTGTCGTAGCAGACGTTCTCACAACCAGGCTGCTGGGTGTTACATTTGAAGGCCGACTGCTCGTCACCCCACGCTGACTCCACTGCCGTGCCCAAGACCAGGATCCTGAAGATGAAGAGGACTGAAAGCCAAACCTTCCCTCCGGCTGTGGAGTACGCCTGGACCTTGTCCAGCAGGCGACCCAGAGCACTCCAGTCACCCATCCTTCCTCAGGGAGAGTCAGCTGGTGGACGAAAGAAGAAAGTTTGGATTAGCTGTACTGATATTTTCTTAGGATGTTACAGCTAAACATGCAGTATTACACAGATGAACACACTCTGTGTTTATGTCTCCTTGTGTTTTGTCATTGAAAACATCATTATTGAGGGATGTAACTGTTGATTTCATGACATAAAACTTGAGGTAATCCAATTCATGAGCCTCAGAGGACACTTTGTCTCAAACCCAGGACAGTATGTGACCCATTAGGTTAAAAAAAATCCTAAAAATGAAATTTTTATGAGATTTAAAAGGCGCCTTCAAATCCATCAAAGTCCGGAAGTTCAGTTTAGGTTTTGGGACCTTGCCTGGAATCAGAGGAGCCATTGATTGAAGTCCTATACTGAGGACCAAGTGTTGAAATTGGACCACCAAGGTGCCCTCAAACATGACTCTAAACCCTCAACTGCCTGAGGTGGTCATCCATATTCATTTATTTTGTTTATGCAAATTCTTCTTCACTGGGGAATCTGCAGAACCAAAACATTGCTAACAAATATACAGTTTGCAGGTTTGATAGTGTGCTTAAGTTTGTCCCTTTTGTTTGCCATACTCGTATTCCACACTCCCGTCGCGTGAAATAGATTAACTAAATCTTTTTGCCCTTTTATATTCCTTTTCTACTAAATGCTTCACACTGCAGCTGGAAAAAACGACAATCAAATAAGTGATTCAAGGCAATAAATGTTCAAGTTGATACTGAACGTGGGACGTCCCATCAACCAAAAAGCCATACCTGTAATATGAAAACCTGCACTTGAATCAAACTACCAATCGATGATGTGAAATATGAAGATTTGAGCTTTCAGCAGCATAAAAATGGCTTTTTTTTGTAGATACAGCTTTTATCTGAGATCAATTCAAGCTCAGTGGTGTAAAAGATGTTCCCAAATTTAAAGGTCTTCTAACAACACAGGCATAACTCTGGAGAGACTCCTCTCATTCATGCATAGACCTCAACCTGGTTAAGAAACACACATCAGTCACATGAGAGGGTTCGCTGAAAGCATTTCACTACCACATGTCGACTCTCTTCCTCCAGAGCACCGAACTGAGAAAAGTGAAGATGAAATAGGCAGGAGTTTAACCACTTGCATCGACTCCCCTCTATTTCTTACAATAAGAGTCAACTTGAGCGACTTAATCTGAAGGTTTTTAGGAGTAGTTTTTTTCAATGAAGCACAGCAGAGGAAAAACTAGTTAGGAGCATCAGAGAGTAGCGGAAAACATCCCGAATGCTGCCGCTCCACAGTGACATTCAGACTTCCTCACTGCAGCTCTGATTCATGTAGGTGTGCATGTGTGTGTGTTTGTGCATGTGTGTGTGTCCCAGCAGCAGGAAGCAGGCCTGTGAGCAGCTTCTTTCCTGCAGAGCGTTTCCTCTAAGCACAGACAATCAGCCGAGTTCCTGTCGAGTCCAGCAGCAGCTCAGCGGACTCAAAATGAAGCTTCACTCTGATTCTCTCACAGTAAGAGGGACAGGTTCACTCTGCGGCTCATGCGCCGGTCCCGGCTCATCCACTGAAAACTAGCACCTCCTTCGGTCATTGTTAAATATGACTCCTGCTGTCAATGCGTTCAGGAACTGGTTTGATATGGATGAAAAGTTTAGAGAAGAGGCGCTAAATCCTGGAAATGGATCCTTGGACAGGATTCGGTTTAAGCTGATCTACATTAAACTCTATTTCTGTCTCTTACATTTACACATAATGTCGCAAATAATGTGGTAAAAATGGAGAGGCTGCTGAAATTAGGCTGCAGGGCATGGTCACTTATGTAATCCTGCTTGACTGGATGAATAGGGAGAGAGAATACTTTACAAAACTTACAAAGACTTCAGCATCAAAGCGACTTGAAGGACCGACAGCAAAACGAGCAAAAGTGTCCAAGCTCTGCAAGTATCTGAGGCCTTTAAAACTCCACTTATTCAACAGAAAAGGTCTTGAAACTAAAGATGAGAATGATTTTATATGTCTCCCTTTTTCAGTTACTATGATTTATTAACCTGGACAACCTTTTACCTATTCTCGAGGTATGAGAAATTGTGAATCCTTCAAGAAACGGCGTCACAGAAAGCACAAAATAAAGCAAATTGAGTTTTTGTGGGCCCTTTCTTAAAGAAACCCTGTGCAGTTTTTGAGTGCTAGTTTTGAGATCAGGTCTGAGAAGGTAACTGGGCCTTCAGGAGGTCTTTATAGAGGAGTAAGAACCTGCAGTCTGAGCAGCATGCCAAACATGTGCTCTCACTTATCTCATGTAAAAAGTAGAAACACTGGAGAACACGCAGAATAACTCCGAGTGTCCACACAGTTACCTCCACTGAGTCGAACCCACACATGGAAGGAGGGATGAAGACAGCTTGATAATGTCTTTATCAAGCAGAAAACATCCCGCCACTTTCTACATGAGTGAGTTTATGTCTGAAAATGACCAAGACAGAGCAGAACAATAGAGTCCAGGACAATGCCTCCCTGCAAACTGACTGTCCCCCTGTGGGCAGAGACACAGGATGGGGGGGACACAAACCGATGAGGACCTATTCTCATGTGAGGAAACAAAGGGGGGGTTTAAGTGTGTTCACAAAAGAGAGAGAAAAAAGTTTTACAGTTAACTCAAAATGTAATGTTAGAGGTCAAACTGCAGCCTCTGGGCGTTTGGAAAACAAAAAAATAAAGGATAAACTTCAACAAGCATCATCACGTCTAAATGGAACAGAAAACGCTCTTGCACCAAGTTTTCTCACATTTTTCTCCTCTAAACTCTTTTTCTTAAAGTTTTCTTAAAGTTACAGCTAACTTGAAACTTCTCAAACAGAGCAGTATACTTGTCAAAATGTGTGCGCAAAGTCCGGAGCGCACCGGAGCTCCGACGGTCATTCCTGGAGCACCGAGCGCGGAAAAGTTTCTGTAACTCTACAAAACTTCTACAAAGTACAGGAGCAAGTTTAACTCACCTGGAAAGTTTGAGAAGAAAAAAAGAAGAGAAAAAAGAGGAAGAAGCTGGTCCACAGGGACAGTCTCCGTCTCTCTGAACGGATTCTCTCTCTCTCTCTCTCTGTCTCTCTTTCTCCCTGTGCTGAAGTTGAAATCCAAAGTTTGGGGGGAAACTGAGCTCTACATGTCAAAGCTCCTTATAAGAGTCCCGTCAGAGGAAGCGGTCACCTGACCTCTACGTCAATACCGGAGCCCCTGTCCATCCGTGCGTCCATCAGGGGGATGGGTGGATAGACAAACAGCCTGGAGAGCGCAAACTTTTTCAGACTTATAGTTTTATTTTTTTAGTAAAGAGTCTTAAAGACCCGGATCTGCCGTCTAAACTTTCCAGAGTTCACGCTTTAGAGAGAGTGAGAGGTTTTACTGTAAGTGTATGTGAAAATAGGGGAGACTGGGGACGGTTGGAGCAAGCCCTATTTCTCCAATCAGAATCTTGCTAAAAGGTTTTTATTTGGCATGTGCTCAGTCAGAACATATGACCACAAAAAAGCCTGATATCTGCCTCTGAATCCCTAAAAAAGTTATTACGTTTTTTTTTTTTTTTTTTTTTTTTTCACATTCTGCATATATAAGATACTATTCCAAATAACGAGATTTTCCTCACTACCTTTCCTTGACTTCCAGGAAACAAGTAAAGTGATGTTTTTCCTGTATAAACATAGGAGCATACAGAGATTTCTATTTAATAATCTGCACCTGAAATCTTTATGTTCATCTAAGCCCCGAAGTCCTCATGTAAAATACAAGTTTGAGTTAACTAAGTGCTCCTAGTTAACACATGAAGAATCTCTTAAAAGCATTGAATAAAAATGAGAACAACTATTAACTCCAGTCTTTTTATGCTAAATTGTTTTAGTGTTGATTCTTGCTTATTAATGCCCCGTTATTACTGCCATTACTGTTTTTAATATTGTTATTTATTAACTACTTTGTTGCAAACAACAGCTGCTTTTCCCACACCTATCCTTGTGGTTTTACCCTCAGCCTCACTACAGAGTCTACAGGAATTTTGTATCATTGAAGGGTTCTGGATGCACAAAATTGCATTTTTCAGATATCTGACGCTAATAGTCAAACACAGTCTGGCTGATACCAATATTTTATAGGCCTATCATACATTATTGTCATTTTAGAAATATAATAGACGTCCAGCACTAGACTTTACCTGTTTTTTCTCATTGTCATAGTCTGTTTGCTTTTCAAGAGTCACACACAAGGAAAAAAACAATGGTGGACTCCACTGATTTGATACCATTGACTGTATATAGAATGGACGCCGTCTGCCTCCTCGCTGGGTGAAGCCACTCAGAGAACAGCACCCTCTGGTGACAGGCTGCAGTATAGGTCATAAATCCCACCTCTGCAAGCAAAGCTTATATAGCTGTGGATAAACTTCAGAAATTTATTACAAAGAATATACTTTTTTTTTCCCCCTGCTTGCGGTGTTGATATGTAGTTACAGTAAGACTGGTTTGTGCTCAAGTCCTCTTTTTTCTGTGCAGCTCAGTTTTAAAAAGTTATTAGTGGGTTCATGTTTTCTATGATTGACACATGATACAGCCTATGGGCGTATGAAGTTTACGTAGCTCACCCGGGGGATACGCTGTTTGAGCCGAGCGTCATCACAGCGACTGTCCCGCCTAATGCGTACAACGCTACTGTGCCAGTGGTGGTTCCAGAAGGGGAGAAAATCCCTGAAACACCGAGAGCAACTCGGCTTCAAATTCATCTAATGGTGGAAGGCAGAGCCAAGTTGTCTGATATTTTTCAATATCAGACAGTTTATATTCAAACTAATGTTATAAATTGTATGTGATACGTAAGTATGTCACAATATGGGTCATAAAGGTAATTATCAAACAAATGAGCAGTATGTTAAAATCCTCTGTAATGATTATTTAACAGGTTATAAAATGAACTATAATAAATAATGATTCTCCTTTATGACTGAATAAGAAAACAAGACTATTAAAGACAACACTAATTATGTCAACATGGTCATTTTTAATGCTTTTATGCAGTTGGAGACCAGATCAGATAAGACAATTCACCACTTGCTTCAAGTCTTCACAATAAGTGAAATATCTTAAAAGACAGAAGGATGACATTATTATCATATCGAGATACAGGCCAGAACAATACAGATTCAAGAGGTAGTGCTCCATCCACAGAGGTCCCCCAACAGAAAACTCCTTACTAGAGCTTTAATATGGACATAATATTTACACATATTTGGAATATTTCAATATAAATACTTTGACTTATCTCACTTGACTGGTCCTGTGCTCTGCCTGTGGACTCTTTTCCAGTGTCGCGGCTTCATTTTTTACCACTCAGGTCTCACACTCTTCTCTGAAGTGGCTCACAGCACCACCCAGTGGTAGAGGTGACACACTGCAGTAATGGTTAACCTATGTGGATAATCTATGAAATAAAACATTAAATGAAATCAGTTTCGGGCTGATTCACACTCTTTGTTTTATTGTCTGCTGCGTTGGTTATTTGAGGGGCTGCTATAAAATCATCCATGACTCTCAGAAGGATTAAAATCTCACTGTACACAAACTTTATCATGCCTCAAACACAGCTGCTATGCTTAAGGCATCTGGAGGTGGCTGACAAAAATGGCAAGAATGACTTCCTGTGACGCTCTGTGGTGCATGTAGGGAGAATGAGCTCAGTAATGAATGTGCTCTTCTGTTTAACCAGCACATTATTGAGCGGGTGGTGGATGCTGTCCAAGATTATATGTAGCTTTGACAACATCCTCTTCTCTGTCACTGTCACATAAACCCTATGAGAATAAAACATTACAGATTAAAGTGATTAATATTTTTGCAATACTGCAGCAGTGATTTGGAGTGGGATTGACAAATGTTTTGGTCATTTGATGGGCCAAAGTGTCAAAGTTGCTAAATATTGTGGTGATACAGTGAATTTGCATGAAGTCTAACCCTAAAACCCTAACCTTAACCCCATCACCCTAACCCAAGCCTCTTAACCCAATACCCCAATGTTATCTTCAGATAACCCTAAAACAAACAAAAAAAAATGAAATTTTTATTAATTTTTTAGTACTTGTTGACTCCAAAAGGGCTGAAACTTGCTCCTAAAAAGGTCCTGGACAGTGATTAAAGCCCTAACCCTAAAACCCTAACTCTAACCCCATAAACCTAACCCATACCTCCAACCCAATACCTCAATGTTACCCTAACACTTCAAAACATTCAAGATTTTTCCTAATTTTTTTGTACCAATTGACTCCAAATGGTCTGAAACGTTCTCCTTAAAAGGTCCTGGAAAGTTATTTTAACCCTTACCCCATAACCCTAATCCTAACCCCATAACCCTAACACTAACTTTCTAACCCATTACCCCCATGTTATCCGGCAGCATATTTAGTCACAGTGTTAGTGATTAACAGAGTCTGTAGCACACTGTCACTGTACAGAAGATTAAAGAGTTGGTTTATCTCCAGAGTCAGTTTATCAGTGAGCTGTAGATCCTAAAAAAATAAAACAAAGTAGAAGTAAGAAGTGTCAAAGTGTCACTGTATTAAACTCTTAGGATGGAGGAACAAGGAAGGTAAACAGGGGCCAAGGAAAGGAATCAAGGGACCAAAACGTAGAGGCTCTGCTGTTAGAGTGCAGGAGTAACAGGATTCTTTCGAAAACATTTATTTTAAAATCAGGATTTTTCCATCTCAAGGTTGTTTCAGTTTTTATCTTGAAACAGGTTTTACAAAACAAAGCTGTGATGAAATTTAAAAATTGTAATTGAAGTGTAAAGGTCTATTAGGTGTCCTTCTCCTTCCAGTCTCGGTCCTCATGCTGCTCCTCATTTGTAGCAGGTATAAGTACTGGATATCCTCCGTACCTGCTGGCCCTGCCCTCCCAATGCGGGTTTGACGAGCTTTGCTGAAAGGTGAGCCTCTCCCGCTGCCGCTCCAAAAGCTTCTTTGTGCGTTGTTTGCTACGATTACACATCAAGTAAATCATCTCCACCACATTCAGCAGCACCGACACCCCAGACACCACCAGCATGAAGAAGACGAAGATCGTCTTCTCTGTGGGACGAGAAATGTAACACTGGGCCCCGGTGGAGCGTGCACAGGGCGGCGACTCGTTGCAGGGGAAGTAGGAGACCATGAAGATAGAGTCATAGATGTAGAACTGAGCCACAACGAAGCCCACCTCCATCAGGATCGTAGAGAACAGCTGGGCCATGTAGGTGTAGAAGAGGACGCCTGTAATCTTCACCTTCCCTCTGTCGTCCGTGTACTTGGGCTTCTTCACGATACTTCCATCTAAACCACATAAAACAAATGTCAAGACATCTTGTTTTCATTTTCTAAACATCCCACAAATCAGACATATCCCGCTGTAAATGTTTAAGTTGGATTATTGTATTTCTTTTTCATCTAGATGCTCAAATAAGCCTCTGAAGACTTTTTTGCTGGCCCCCAAAAAGCTACATCTTGAGTATGGACCAGGATTTTAAAAAAGAGATCATATTTTTCTTCAGTATATTAGCCTCTTTAAATTAGCTGCTCATAAAATCTAAAGTACAATTTAAGATGCTAACTGGTTTCGCATACACTGACAGATTTACAGCTTTGTATTTTTTGTGAATACTCCGAACTACATTTGTGGTTTTTGGTACAAACTAGATAAATGCTATCTCTCAGGTTTATGGTGACATCCAAAGGTGAACAACACCTTTTTCCTTCTGACGCTGTTAGACCTGTGGGTCAAATCCTGGGTTTCAAAATGTGGAGCATTTGCAGAACACCAAGGCCATCTTGGGATAGAGTTTGGTGTATACATGCAAAGTTACTGTAACTAATTTCCTCCGACCTCTAGAAATCAGTGTTGTTTTCATCAACGTTAACGAAAACAACACTGCAAAATATATGTTTAGCGTTTGACTGACGAAATGCTCATGAACATTGCAACTCTGTTCGTCGTCCACCACTAACGTTTTCGTCTCGTCTCGTCAACGTAAATGCAAATTTGTCACGCCACATTTTAGTCATCTAAGACTTTTTTAGCTCGTCAACGTCACGTCTTGGTTGTGGAAAAAAAGGGGCGTTGACAAAATATTTTTGTCAACGAAAACAACACTGCTGGAAAATTTAACTGGATTACAGTGAAAATGACAAGCTCATATCTATTTCAAAACACAGACCAATAATTATTATTATTCTTTAAAATATCTCATACATTTTGCCATTATAATTGGCATCATAAACAGCAGTCTGTCAAATGTGGGTTTTAAAGATTGATTGATTGATTGATGGACTGACCTGTGCTGTTTCTTAGCTGCTCTATCATTCTCTTCTCTTTGTGGATGACGTGCACGGCGTGGCCCAGGTACACCAGGGTGGGCGTGGACACAAAAATGATCTGCAGCACCCAGTAGTGGATGTAGGAGATGGGGAACATCTTGTTGTAGCAGGCGTGCTTACATCCTGGCTCCTTACTATCGCAGGAGAACTCTGAAAGTTCATCCCCCCACACTTTGTCTGCAGCAGCTCCCAGGACAAAGATCCTGAAGAGGAAGAGGACACTCATCCAGATCTTCCCCACCACTGTAGAGTGGGACTGGACTTTGTCTAGTAGAGAGGACAGATAGGACCAGTCCCCCATGGCTGCAAATTAACACCTGAGGGACAAAAACACAAACATAAGACATACAGTATAAACACAAAGTATGCTATTTTTTTATCAATCAAAATAATAAAAACTCATTCAGGTGTGCAGCTGATAATGGATTTCAGTCTGTAAGAATCTGGGTCAGAGTAAAACTGTCAGCCAGGTGAGTTTACAGTTCAAAATATACATCGGTTATACGTCGGTTTCAGTCCTTTGAACATTACATTTTTTTACGGCAGCAGCTGGAGAAAGTCAGGAAACAATGAGCACAGAGAATGGGAGATATGCCATAAGGGGTTATAGCTGGTAACCAAACCAGGGTCCACTGTGACATAGACTATGGCCTCCATACGTGGGGTGCTTACGCCGTGTTCGAGTTACCTCGGAAGTCAGATGTCCGAGCTGGGAATGACATCACAAAAGCAAAATTGGAGGCAGAAACAAGATGGCTACATCTATGAAAGTTATTTTAGTGCTTGCCTTGTCCTTGCTTATACTTGGACAAACGCTAAAATAACTTTCGTAGATGTAGCCATCTTGTTCTCGCCTCCGATTTTGCTTTCTTCAGACTTACGTTGTTAACTTGGGTGTGACGTCATTCCTAGCTTGGACTTCTGACTTCCGTACACCATAGCGCATTTTACTTTCAAATCTCTCTGAAAACTTAGTTGACGAGTCAAATGTTATCTGCATTTTGTGTCAAACAGAATCGAAAATATCACCAAAGTGTTTTGACTTTGAGCTACTCCCTGTGAGCTTAATAGCCAATCAGCCTGATGTTTCAGACAACTCTATCACTAAACCCAACAGAGCGCTGGAGTGAAAAGAGCTACAGCTAAAACTAAATACATGCAGTCATCAGTGGTTGCTAGCTGACATTGTGGAAGAGTCGAATATAAGGCGTAAAGTGACCAGTCATATAGTCTACTGTCAATAGTTTCATGTTTATTAGGTGATGGTCTCAGATGGTGCACATTTATATGATGGGCTTAAAAACATGTAATACATACAATTAAAAATATGATCAATTCCAATTAACTGTTCAAATTCTGTGATTAATGGTGTTTCAAAGATTTGTTTGCCAGTATTAGATTTCCTAGAGTAGATTATCTCAGCCTGCAGCAGTGAGACGGACTACAACATAAAACTAAATGACAAGAATTGTATCTACCAGCAGCTCTTGTTTTTGCCACCAAAAGGTTTAGATTTTAATCCTTAGTGTGTCGTAAATCCTGTAACTCCATGAGAAAGATTTTCATAGGACAGGTGTTACATCACTATCCACTCGAAATCCAAACTCTATTGACAAAAATATTTGAACTCATAGATAACATGTGTTCGCTTTCTTGAGTAGTTGACCATTTTAACCTCCATTGTCATTGTCTATTGTTCACAGAGAAACACAACCAAACAGTGTATATCAGGTTAAAAAACAAAACATTGTTTGTTCCAAAACGTGTTTTTGTCTGACAAAACCAAGGATTATGTTGCAGATGTTACAGCCTGTTTCACCACTGCAGACTAAAACAATGTCTCAAATCAACACCAAGACTTTTCAGAGCTATTAGACATTTACAAAAAGCAAAGATATCACTGTCAACCTCTGAATGACATGATCTAAATCCAATTAATTTAGTTCCCAAGTTCAAAGTTACATAAATTTAGAACCTGTTATAGTTTTAAATAAAAAAGACCCTCTGAATTGATCCATGATCACAGTCTACTTTAAAGAAACAGACCAAGCTGGTGGATTTAACAAAACTGTGAAAATGTCTTCTTACATGATGACCAGTTCACGCTTTGATTTTGAAGAAATATGAGAAGTACTCACCTGTCACGATTCAGACTGTGTTTGAGCACATCACAGCAGATCCAGAAACTTGATTCTCAGACCACAGGGAGACTTAAATACAGTCTGTGAGATTGGTCTGATGCAAATGCGCATGCTCACACACAGACAGACACTGCTCAGCTTCTCCTTTCCACATGTGATAATTCTGATGACTCTGATGAAAAATGTTTCTTCACACTTGTTTCCTGTAAGCTTTTGCTTTGCCCAACAAAGGTCAAACTTTGAATCAGTACTATCTCCCACTTTGACGGACAAGCTCGTCAGAAGTCACTCCTATACTGAGTGTTTATGTGAAACAGGGTGTGTGCTTGATATCTTTTTGGACGCACCCTGTCTGAGAAATCCCTTTAAGTGTATGAGTGTTAAAGGGAAGATAAGATATTACATCAAAAGGCACATTTTTACCCTATGAAACGAACAACAGATGTTTTGGTGGGACGTGACAAACTATCAAAATTAGTTAGAAGTGTTATGATGAAGATTTACAGTCTGTTATTCAGAGGTGATAACTGATGTAACTTTTGATTTCAGTGATTTCTAGATAAAGCTGGTCAAAGCCGGAATATCTCGGGCTTCCTCTGATCTTTTTGTTGGATTCCTGTGATATGAGGTGTGTTAAGAGTGATTTAATTTACTCTGGTATGCTCCAAAGATAATCCCAGCCACAAAATATTTGACATAATAAATATTTTCAGTTTTCAATCGGAAATCCTGTTGTTGTGGGGAAACCCCGAGGACACTGAGCATTGTCACAAAAGCGATAACCAATTGGGAAACAAGCTGATTGAAGAGGGATGTATTGGAAACGCAGCGGTAAACATGAAGATTCAAACTAGATGGACGTCAAAAAAAGAGAATGAATTGCTGATTTTTGGCAACAATACAAACATGATATGTGTCCTGTGAAAATTGCAACCACAAAGCATGTACCAGCTAGCAACATTTAGCTTGACCCCTGTGCAAACTCTCCTGCTCTGCGGTGTTTGGGACGTCACCGTCACATCAACAGAAGGACCCGAGCAGCCCCAAGAGATAACTCGAGGGATGACATTATAGTCTCGCGGGCAGCTAAGACACCTGTGGCGTATTGTTCCCCTCCTCTACAATTGGGACAGTTAAGCAGAGTCTGCATTACATGTTATCGTCCTGTGTCTGTTATGTGTGAGTACAAAGAAACCACAACTCAACACAATCTGTTACTTTGTTCATGTGTGGGACCATTAACTAAGGCCAGACTGTGTACGCCAGCATCCATAACAAATAATTCACAACACCTGTTGCAACATCGTCCGCCATTTTTGTTTGCTCTACAGTCACCTCTGCTGTAGGAGGTTTTGCAGTTACCAGTTTCTCAAGTGTCTGGACTCAGGTCACGTGTAGATGTAATCGGTTAGTGTTAAATGAGCTGTGTTGACCTTATTGCACTCCATACACCATAAAAACAAAAACTTTTAACTCTCACTTTTTGTGTCATTGTGAAAATGATGTGGTCTGAAATAACTGTCTTGTGCAGAGGAGACCAGCCTGACAATCTTCACAAACAACCTCACATATTTCCTGCAAAAATAAAATAAAATAAAAGAGGGCCCAGAACTGATCCTTGTGGAACACCTTTTGTTAATTGTAGAAACTGTGAAAAAAAAAACAGCTTTGACGCATACCAGCTTTTACACATTAAAACCTGTCAGAAAGATAAATATCAGACCACTTTCAAGTAACAAGGTCACAGCCAACATTACAACGGGAAGAGCATGGTCATCAGCACTAAAAGCTTTTAAAGGGTGGATAAAAACAGCAGTACTATGCTTCTTGTCATTATTGGAAGCAGAGATGGTGCCATGCATGGCTCTGAAACCAGACTAATAAGGGTTCCCAATGGGATAATTTCAGAAAAATACTTTGTGTAGCTTTTGAAACGAAGAAATTATCAGTCATCTTCTTGATTGTCTGATTTTTAACTCATACAAAGACAATAACAAAAAAAAGAAAAATGAGATAAGGCATATTCAAATTAAAATTTAAATTCAACTTTATTTGTACGGCACTTCTCAGACAAATAAAAAAGTAGCTCAAAGTGTCTCAAGGGCTAAAAACAGCAATTAAACAACAATAAAACCCGACCCAGACACCAACCCATGGATCTACACACACACAGACACAGACCCACACCCACCCTCGCTCACCCACACATAGATAAAAAATAATATTGAAAAATAAATAAATGGTAAAAAGAAAGACTAAAACCTGATGGACTAAAACAAGAAAATAAAAAAAATGAACAAATAAGTAAGAGCTCTTTATCATATAAAAAGGGGTAAAGAAGTAAAAACCTTTACGGCGGGAGTTAAGGAAAAAACTAAGAACAATAATTAATAAGATTTCATAAAAGACACATTAAGAACTTTGATTAAAGTGAACATTTTTAATAAAAGATATCTAAAAAGTCTGTGAGGGTTGATATGATAAAAGTAAGTCAGATAAATAGGAGGGGCCAAGACCATTAATACATCTAAAAACTAATAAAAGAACCTTAAAATCAATCCTGACACGGATGGGGAGCCAATGCAGCGATGCTAAAACTGGGGTTATGTGCTCTCGCTCTCCGGCCCTTGTCAGCACTCTTGCAACTGAATTTTGTAATAGCTGAAGTGTAAATCATGTCATCATCAATAAAAAAAACAAAGTAAAACCTCCTTACAGGACCTTTGAAATAACAATTTGATGATTGAATCAGCATTTCCACATGCTGACACGAAGTGGTGTGAAGACTGGAGTTCAATGTGTCCGCTCCATTGCTTAATGTCAAAGATCAAGAGTAAAGGTTGGATCCTCGGCCTCAGGTGCTCGGTGGTTGTCTCTACTGACATTAATTCGGCTGCAGTGCTCAGTGTTGTACAGTGACCAGTTCTTGTTAAGTATACAGATGCTTGATCAGCAGTCCCACAGTCTTGTGATTTCTGAAAGCTGTTTGTTGGTTTTCAGTTTTGTTATGTTGTGGGAGTCAGACAGACATGTCACTTTGAGGTCATGGTTTGGGGTGGTGGAGAGGTCAAACAAAGTCAAGGAACCTGCATACAGCTAGTCTACTCAGATCTTATCCCTTAAGGTCCTTACACACTGGGAGAGTTTTTTTCGTGCGATTATTTCAGACGTCAATATTTGTTCTGAACCCGTATCCTGTCAATACAAGCGTTCACATCAGCAACGTTTTCCTGTCCTTTAATATTGCGGCATTTTTTTTCGGATTATGGTAGATTTTTCTAAAGTTTTGCATACTGTGTGTCCACTTCTGACCAATCAGACTGCATGTTGTTGCGACGTCTGATTCACTGGTATATCCAACATGGCCGACCGGCTGATCTTGTTTACGTGTCGGAGAACAGAGAGCTTTTTGATAAAAGACAAATATTACAAAGATAACGACCTGAAGGACAACTTGTGGAGAGTCATAGCGTCAGATTTCTCATATGACGATAGTTTGTGTGCTTTAACAGTTTGCTAAACATCTTTGTTTTAACTTTCATCTGTGCTAAGTAACTTTAGTGTGTAAGCTAACCTTTTCAGATCAGTGGCGGCTGCTGGTCTTTCAATGAGGGGAAGCTCATTTTTCTGGCCTACATCATAATTGTATTTGTTTATTAGTATGTAACAGAACAGAGTCGCCAAACACAACGGCAGTCGTTTTTAACAAAGACAAAAGTCGCTGAGGATCGGTAAAGTCTCTGGAGCAGTTAAGAACAACGGAATGAATGACTTGGAAAATGCTCTGGTAGATGTTTTATTCTTCAAGATCGCTGATTCGCTTGTTTAGCTGTCAATCAAAAAAGGATTTCGCCTCAGACAGCTCATCCAATCATGGATGCAGAAGCTTGGAGTCCGGGAGAAAGTCGGGACCGCCCTCTCGCCATAGAACTCCAGTGAAGCTAAGCTTCCGATGGGCGGGACAAAGCCCAGCATTTATCCAATGAGCGTCTAGTTTCGCTGCTGGAACAACCCACTTTTAACTTCCACATTGAAGTCAGCAGAAGCCCAGCGTCCGGCTGTTTAAAGCGCTGAGGCGCTGCGAGGATGAATGAGAACGAAGTTATGCCGGTTACCTGTGATTATCAGCTTCTTATCACAGTGTCTGAACAAAAGATGAAGGCTTTCTAGTGCGTATTTAGTTAATGAAATGTACACACAGCCGTATGTATTTCACCACTTTTTCTTTTTTTGGGGGGGGTGACATTTTAAGGGAAGCCGAGCTTCCCTTGCAGTCTTAGAGCAATCGCCACTGTTTCAGATACAACATACCATATGTATTTTCACTGTCTCAAACTCAATCGCGTTGCTCTCACAGTACTATAAGGCCTCGGTTGTTACATTACGTTTATGGATTATAGTTTAATGTGCTTATCTGGTACTGGCCCTGACGCAGTACATGCTATCATGACAGACAGACATCTCAACACTAGTGTCTAATCAGAACTGAAAAACAGTCAGTCTGCTGTTGTGTCAGTCTTCTTCCTTCCACCTAGGACGCGTCTTTTCCCCCCCGGAAAGTCGCAAAATCGCATTGGGCTTGATGTGTTGTCAGGCGCGTCAAAATTCGCCTCCGATTATTTCGTAATCTCGCGTTCTATATTCGCGTGTGTAAGGACCTTTAAGCTAACCACAAAATATTACCTAAAAAAAAAAAAGACTCAATAAAATTAATAAAAAATGAAACTGTTTCACTTTCTTTAACATGTGTTATGATTGTTCTACGTCAAAAGATTGGCAGCACTGTGAATATCTCGGCCGAGGTTGTTTGTCAAACACTGATACTATGACAGATTTATTTTGAAAGTGTGGCTTAAAGTTAGTATTTTTGTTAAAAGTAAAAACTGCATACATATCTAGAGGAGGAGTACAAAAGCCCTTTCAAAATACTTTTATTTGAATGGAGGTTGGATGATAGTGGCATCATTAGTGCTGTTTTCGGGGGGAGCTGAAGCCTCCATAAAATATTTCATATATTATATAAAAAGTCATTTACTCCCTTTGATCTGACAGGTGTTGCACAAAATGCACATTTGTACTACTTCTACTTCTTCAACAGTTTTCACATTCATACATCGTCCACTTTTTCCTCTATTTCGCATCTTCAGTAGTTTCTGTATGAATGTGGACACTGTTTCTGTAAAAATACAACTTCTTATTCTGCTACTTCAGCTTTTCAAGAATTTTTAAATAAATACAACTTCTTTTTTTTTCTACTTAAATTCACACGTTTCTCCTTTTCTAGCAGTTCCTTCTAGTAGTTCTCCTTTTCTAGTTTACTTTTACAACAACACAGCTTTGGGAGTTTTGTTGCTCAAATCTAATTTTTGTACCACAGATATGTACAAGAAAGGTTTTTATAAAGTTTTGTACCAAAGCATGGAGCTTAGATTGATGTGCTGTTTTTAGAAATGTAGGAGAGAGGACATGCTGACATAGTTCCTGAAAAAAGGATCCTCCTTTACCCCAGCCTCGAGATAGAGTGACCAAGCCCTACAGCCCCAAAACATGTCAGATGAGTTTGTTTTTTGATGGACTGAACTGTATAGATGCCAACACAAAAAATACATTTATCTGAGCTCAAAGTAGTCATTGAAGATAAGAGACAGAGCTTTCAAAGGCCTGATTTGTGTACTTAAGAATCTTCAGCTGAGACGTGAGCAGACATTATAAAAATGAGATTGATCAGGTGTCAGTTTTTGCTGTCAGTGAAATAAAAAAAAAAAGACCTTATCAGTCATTTCCATGTGTCTGGGGGATAGACTGTAATTTTTTTAAGGAGGGTGGTGGGAGTGGACTTGTGCTGTGTCAGCATGAATTATAAGAAGGAAGTGAGACAAACAGACACAGAGAGAGAGAGAGAGCGACTGGACACGACACATTAACATCATCACATTAACCAGGTAGGAAAAAGATCACTCTGATTACAATTTAAGCTCACAGCTATTGATACTGACAGTTCATGAGTTATATTTTATTTTACACAAATACATACGAAAAAATAATTTGTTTCAAATTGATGATAAAATGATATGTTTCATCTGCAGTAGTCCAGAGCTTAAACAGATCTGATCTGAAATCTGTCAGCCTGGAATTTACAAAAATGTCAGGATGTCAATATTTGTTGCGAGCTTCTATAATTTGGCTTACAAACATATAGTGCAAAGTAATTAAATTGAAATGGGACTAATAAAAAAGAGAGAAAATATGTATGCTAGAAGCAAATGAATAATATGGTCTGATGTAGAGACAGATTTTTGTGTCAGTTTGTATATTACTTGGTAAAATGTGCTTCTACTTTGAAAACTTTCCCTCTAAGGTTATAACTTTATGACTTAAATAAAGTTGTTTGGTCCTGTCACTATTGATCAACTGGAATGTGTCTGAATATACCGATCTGAATTCAGAAAGTTGATCTTACTGTCGAGGTTTTGCAGTGTAATAAGAGTCAGTCGTCACAATCTTTACTTTACAATTCCAGTTACAAAAAAGTTGGAATTCAGTGTTTTTTGTTGATTAAAACAGATTTTTGATAGTTTCCAATTCCTCTGTTTAGTTGAAATAGAGAAAAGACAACAAATCAGATCCTGATACTTAAAAATCTTGTTCAATAAAAAAAAATTTGCTGATTTTGAATCCGACACAGGCGACACATTCCAAAAGTATTTGAACAGTGATAACAGAAAAACATTAATGCTGCGTTCAAGTTTCCTTGGAAGTCAGATGTCGGAGCTGAAAATGACATCACACCTGAGTTAGCAGTGTTTCAGTAACCAAAATTGAAGGCTGAAACAAGATGGCTACATCTACGAAAATTATTCTAGTGCTTACCTTGTCCTTGCTTATGTTCGGATGAGGAAAGCGCTAAAATAACTTTCATAGATGAAGCCATGTTGTTTCCGCCTCTGATTAAATTTTTTTCTGACTTGGTGACTGAAACACTGGTAACATCATTTTCATCTCCGACAACCTGACTTCCAAGGTAACTTGAAAGCAGCATACTTTGGTTTGAAATTTTAACTTCAGCCTTCATACTTAAGGCGTGTGAGGAGTCTCTAACTGCCTAAAACTGATGCTGCTGTTTCTTTATCACTCTCAAGAGTAAACCAGACGATCAACTTTGCTGCAGAAAGATTTGCAGTTGTGAGTTTCCATCCCTGTAACTGCTGTGAGAAAGTCGGTGTCAGACCAATTGATCGACAGCAGGCTGAAGAAAACAGCTTTTTCCATTTTCTCTATAATAAATGATCTCATTAAGGGATGCATTTCACTGTTAGAAGACAATAGTATGGGGACCATGTCTCAAAAGACTACTTTCACATGTGTAGGAATAAAGATAAGAGTTATCACTTTTCACACAGAGGGATACAAATACTGATACAAATCAAATAACTTACACATCAGCTTTGAATCCTAAATATTCAAAAATGTACAATGAATTTCAACCTTTCTTCTGTACATTTGGTCTTAAATCCAATAAATCAAGAATGGTGTATTCAAACTTAAATCTTACATAAGCAAACTTTTAATTTGTGGATATAGAAATTCAATCAATAAACTGACCTTTAATTCCAGGTAACCTTACCTTAAATCTTTACATGTAGACTTTAACTCTGATTTGATGAATTATTTTTTCATTTGCATATTTGAATGTTTTTAATGAGTACTCATCATGTATTCAAAATTTCATACTGATATTTCAGACTTATTACCCATGATTTTTTTTTTTAATTCAAACTTTCATTGAAATTTTAGTTTGCATGATCAAACTCTGATTTTGAAAATATTTTTTTGGACGACATTGGAGATTTAATTCTTCATATTTTAATTTAAATTCATATGATCTAATATGACTGGAGGATTACAGTGACTCTCTTTAAGGAGGGTTTTTAAATACTGGCCTGATTATCTCCACTGGTAGAGTATTTGAGTATTTGAGCGATCCTGTGAAAAGTGTGGTAGCTTGACTCCTGATTTATCACCTCACCGCAGGCCGTCATCATGGGGGAGTGGTCCTTTCTGTCTGCCCTCCTGGACAAGGTGCAGTCTCACTCCACAGTGGTGGGGAAAGTATGGATGAGTGTCCTCTTCCTCTTTCGGATCTTCATCCTGGCCGCTGGCATTGACACAATCTGGGGTGACGAGCAGTCAAACATGGACTGTAACACCCTAAGCCCTGGCTGCAGGAACGCTTGCTACGACCGCTCATTCCCTATGTCACATACTCGCTTCTGGGTCCTCCAGATTCTCACTGTGTCCACACCCACACTTATCTACTTGGGCCACGTGCTGCTGGTAATCCGCAAAGAGAACAAGATGAGGAGACGCCAGGAGCAGAAACTCAGTAAGAATGGAATGCTGAAAGCTCCAAAGTATTCAGATGAGTTCGGCAAAGTGCAGCTGAAAGGCGTCCTGCTGTTCAGCTACATGATGCAGCTGCTGCTAAAGATCATCCTCGAGGCTGCCTTCCTTGTAGGCCAGTACTTCCTGTATGGCTTCATCCTCATGCCTGCTAAGATTTCATTTTCAGACTACCCATGCCCCTCTGTAGTTCACTGTTTTATAAGCCGGCCCACAGAGAAGAGCATCTTCATCATCTTTATGATGGCAATGGCGGTTCTCTCAGTGATCCTCAACATTGTGGAAATGTTACACCTCTTCTGCTCAAAGCTGAGGGAGAAGAAGCGCAAGAACTCGATTCCCCATGAGACGTATCCTCTAGACAAACTGAACTACAACGCCGGAGAGAAAGCCACACTCTGTTAACGGACTCTGAGCAGAGTCTTAAATCTCTTGACTAGTCTTTGAGGTTCTTGGATCAAAAGTGGAGGAATCTTCTCCTCCTGTGAGCTGCATGGGTTTGAATGGTGTTATATGTTTTTATAAATGTTGGTTGAACTCAGCTTGTAAACACGCATCCTTTCAGGGTAGTCACAAATCCAAACACTTGTGTCTGGGTTCAAAAAATGACCCAGAGGTGCAGCTATTTAGTTCCACCAAATCTTCAGAGACAAGTTGTGTCCAGGCAAATAAAAAAAGAGAAGAAGAAAACTTTCCTCAATGATTTGCAGCCTAAACCTTTTTTTTAATCTATTTTGGATTTGTTTAAATATACCAAGTATGTTTTTTATTTTGTCATTTGCAGAGGATTGCTTCATCAAACACTGTTGTGTCCCTCAGTTCAGTCACCAACATTTTAATGATGCAGTATCAAGCTATTAAAAGTTTAGGACCCTATCAATAAAGATCAGGTCTTGATCATGAAGTGAAGTGAAGTATCATGATGTATTCTCTTTTGATAGAAAAAAATCCTCTATCAACTCATTGATTGAATGAGCACGCACACTGACATTTTGGGGACTGAAGGAGCTCTGTGTATATGTGAGCTTCTATAGGTTTCCCCATTCAGGATGAGTCATGGTTGATAAAAACTTTACAAAACTGAGTACTGTAGTTGGATGTAAATTCTTAAATAAAATGTTGTGCTGCATGACTGGCTTCATTTTTTCTTTCACAGTTGACTTGATGACATGCAAATTTACAAGATGGCTATTTTACCCAATGTACTGTATATTCTTGGTAAAATAGTCATCAGTCATCCATCAACGTCATCATCAGTCACTTGACAACAAAGTGCAAGCTAAGTGGAACATTTTTACTAACTAAGCTAAACATGAATAGCAGTTTATATCAGCATAAAAGTGAAGTGACAAAGCACAAAGAAAAGGAAAAAGAGAGAAAGGAAAATGAGTCAGAATGATATAACCATGTGTAAAACATGCAGTAATGCTTGTAAGCCCTGCTGTTGCGGGCATGTGTGTTTTCATCATGAGCCTTACTGTGTTCAAAGGGCCTGGTCATGTGCCCCGCCCTTAGCCCGGCACTGATTTGTGTCAGGGGGGTTAGTACTTTTTAACTGTCTACAAACTTTAGGACGCAGGGCCTAATCTTGATTTGCATCACAATAACAGGTTGTTAATTCACATATAAAATACTGATTGCACAAATACAGAAAGAGGGAAATACTGGAAAATTCTGAATTAAATCCTATACACCCTAATGTCACCTTATAAGTTAAACAAACCATATATATAAATTTTGACTTTTCATGTAGTTTTTTCATCTTGGGGATGCTTTTGGGTGCCTTTATGTGTCTTGCGTGCTTGTGTGAGTGTTGTGTGTGTTATATATATATATATATATATATATATATATATATATATATATATGGACATTACACAGTTAAAAATAAAAGAAAACTACTTTAATTTGTCATGTATTGTGCTTTTTTTTTATATATTTTGATGACAAGTACTTTTTCTTGGGTAAAAATCACCTGGCGATAGTGATGGTGTTACTAATTTTAGCCACAGTGTTCTAAGGTTAAAGCCATCTTTCGAGCTGAACAGAATATCGGTATCATCGGAAACGCAGTTTTTAAGTTCCTTCCTTCGTCTGGTCTGTGTCCGAAATGGATCCCCAACCCCTACATAGGTGACGACATGGGGGTTAGCATTTTGATTGAGTTCACTACATTGTCAACTATACAGTGAAATCCCATATGGGGATTAGGGGTTAGGGATTGAGTGATTCATTTCGGACACAGCCCGGGTCTGTATCTGAAAATATAAAATAACGACATATTTCAGCCTCTGGAGGGCAGCATTACGCTCCTTACGTACAGCCTACCGGGAATTTATTAGAAAAAGAAGAAGACGTGACGTCATCTCTGAGCGACGGTGGTGTTTTGCTATTGCCATGGCTGAAGCTGAGTACGTATTTACTCTTTATAAACATCTAAGTCCATCCGATTTGTCGTTCAATGCAGTTGTACGGAGTTTAATGTTTATAAGTAGAGAACGTTTAAGTTGTACGACAAAGACACATATTTGGGTGTTTTATGGCTAAAAAAGGGTATTTATGGGTACCTTATTCTCACATGGGCTCCGTGTACTCTAACGGTGTGAAGCAACAGTGTTTGGCTTCCTACACTGTAATATACCCCTAATATATAATTCTGCTGGTTAGGGTTGTTTATATCGTGGAGTAACCACAAAATAAACATAATGACAGCATTTGTCATTGCTTAGATTTACTCTCTGTTTACTTGGTGGTTCAGGTACTTTACTGATCCTGTGTCTGTATGCTTTCAGGTCTGAGAAAGTGATCAAGCTGGTCCCTGAATACCTCCTGAAAAAGAGGAAAAAATACCAGGCGATCAAAGCAACACAAGCCAAACTTGCATTACTTGAAAAGAGAAAGGTAAGCGGTGGTCTCTGTTGATGAAATCTAGCTATGTGGTAAAAAAAAACTTGGCTTTGACTGTATTCTAAATAATGACAGTTTTGTGTTTGGTCACACAGTGTAACACACGTTTCCATCCATGTTTCAGGTCTCAAAAGGAAAACCGATTAAGTTCAAACGTTTAGAAGATATTTTGAAGGAAAGTCACAAGAAGCATCGCGATGAGACTCGAATTAGGAGAGCTCAGTTCCGGCCACCTCCACCTCTGCCTCCTGCTAAGAACAAACTTGCCTTTGCTGTTCGCATCAGAGAGTGAGTATAAATCAAACAAAGACTTCTTCCTGCTGCTCTCAGGTTGTGTTCACACCTGAAGGTCCGTTTCCTGATTCGAATCTGAGGCAAGACAATACATTTGTTTTGATTGTTTAACTGGTCCGGTTTGCGTTCTCAAAGGACAAACTTAATCGCTCCAGAAAACGGATCCGGAAGTCACGTGACCGTGAATATCGTTCGGTTATTGATCATTAGTTCATGCGGTAATACAAACCCCGCTCTGGTGTCTTTGCCTGTCATGGAGCACCATAGGCTGATTTTGCTTTTGCTACTCATCTGGAGCGCGCATCAAAAGACGCTAGTCGATCGCGCGTATGAACGGCTCGTTAGCCAGCGAGCGCGAACTGCGGCACTGCAATACATTCCCAAGTAGACATGCTGCAAACAACAGACGGATAAAGATGAGACGGTGTCTGTGTGGTGCGTTTCCTGTGATTGGTGTGGATGACGTTCACACCAGAAATGAACCGCTCCAGAGTTCACTTGATAACGGTCCGAGACCACCTCTTCAGGCGGACCAGAGTTTGTTTGTTTGGTCCGCACCAGAGTTCGAGGTCAGCGTTCACACCGACCCAAACGAACCGCACCAAGGGGGTAAACACTCCAGGGTTCGGTTCAGCCGGACTAAACGAGGGTGGTGTGAACGCGCCCTTAGAGACATCCCTGCCTTGGTGACAGAAACAAGACATCAGTTGTCTGGAGATTCTTGGGATTGAGAAAATCTGACAATGATCAAAAAATGATACTACACAAAGAGTGTTGTTTGGCTGTCGTTGCTGGAGGAGGAGACACCAGCAACCTCTTCCACCACCTACAGATGAAACATGCCAATCTCTATTATGAGAGCCAAAAGATGTGTGGTGCACCCACTACACCAAAAACTAAAGCTGCAGCAGCTCCTCTCACACATAAGAGCTTGGCAGAGTCTTTCGCCAAGGGTACGCCACATGATAACAAATCGCCAGACTTGTCTGGCATTTTGTTTGCATTTGTAAACAAATCTGAGTTTAAAAACAAAAGGAAAATGAACAAATATGACAATATGGTTATTTTTAAGGCATTAATTGAATTTACAGGGGGAAAAACATACTGCGATATAAGAGTTTGTTCATACCGCCCTACAGTACATTGAAGTAATTTAGCAATTTGTGTTGTTTAAAACGTAAAACACAAAAACACAAAGGCATAAACATACAGTGTAGAGTTTTTATTTGTATCTATATGCTCAGAAACACAAAGCTGGTATACAAGCTGCGTATCAGGGATAAAGGAACTTAAATGTTAACACTTGTTAATGTCAGCTTTGTTTTGTGATTTTGTTCCTAGGATTAAAGGTGTCAGTTCCAAGGTGATGAAGGTGATCCAGAATCTGAGGCTGAGACAGATTTTCAGTGGGTCATTTGTCAAAATCAACAAGTCCTCTGTAGCCATGATGAGGATAGTGGAGCCATATGTGGCCTGGGGGTGAGACACGTAACACTTCTGTTCTCGAAAAACTGGAGCTTATATAATAATTATTTGCATATTGTAAACATATGGCAATGTCAACAACAGATTTCCGAATCTAAAGTCAGTTCGTGAGCTCATTCTGAAGAGAGGACAGACCAGAATATCCAGGAGGAAAGTTCCCCTCACGGATAACGCCTTCATCGAGGAGCACATGGGTAAGTCCTCGGTTGAATAGACTGTTTATTGAAAGCAAGATCGGAAGTAAAAGCAGTCGACAAGTATGCCTGAACAATTGGAGATAGAGAGGGGAATGGAAATTATTGTGATGGGAAATGTATGAATGTCAACCCATGTGATTTTTTTTTTTTTTTTTTGAGAATAATGCATGTTACACTTTCTTCTCAGTTGACAGATAAGATTTGTTTATTGATTTTACTTAAACTCTGTTGAGATGATCTACATTTTTTAGTTTTTAAAAGCTCAGTTTTTGACCATCAATATTGACAGTTTTTTTGTTTTAATCTCTACACCGTAGGCAGCTGTGATCTGCTGCTCTGTGCTTAATAATCGTCTTCTAGTTTGTTCCATTTCCATGAATACAATATCTGAAAAGAAATTTCTTACTCTGTACAAACATTCACCAAGAATTAAGTTCATCACCTGACTTAGTAAATCCAGCCATTACTCAAGAATTCATAAAATATAACTTGTTTGTTTGAAGAATATGCTGAAGTCATGAGATTTTATATCTCAAAGATTTGAGGACAACCATATTGTGACCATATTTCATGTTGGTCTGTGACCAGAAAGGCGAGTCACTGTCATTTGGCCTTGATGATACCCTAGATCTTTGCTGCCTGGTTTAAACATTCCCGTGCTTTACAATTTAAAGCTTCTCTGCAGAAACATCTTAAGATTAGAGTCCTGTTTTCCATGCAACTTTGTGTTGATTGGAATTAGCATTTTTTGCTATATGTGAACACACAAAAGGAGTTCTACCCTCTTTTTGATTTTCTGAAGAAAAGTCCACATGAGTAGAGATTTGGCAAAGCAAGAACAGGAATTACAAATTTTGAATTTGAATCTTGCGTTTCAGGTTGGTGGTAACTTTACATTCACCCCCAAAAAAACACTTCACACTGTTCTTGAAATGATTAAAATGATAACTTAAAGTCTATCATGGTCTTCCTTTCTGCGGCATGTTTTTAGTCTTGACAGACACTGACATAAATGAAATTTGATTTTCTGGCAGAAGCATTGCAGAGGAAATGTATTTGCTGTAGTTAAGTCCAAAATATAGTGTCACTGTGGGCAAATTCTTCTGGAGTGAATCTCTAATATGAAATGTCTAAAATTGCTGTAAAGTAGAGATATTATGGAAAAAAGACAGCAGAGATACATTGTTTGATAAAAGAATGTCCATTTCTGCTATTTACACTTTCCAGTGTTGGTATTTTGCCATACCACTCCATTAAGGCTTCTCCTGCAGTTAAACCCTGCTCTCTGTTTCTCAGGTAAACATGGTATCATCTGTTTGGAGGACCTGATTCATGAGATCTACTCTGTCGGGAAGAGCTTCCAGTCAGCCAACAGCTTTCTGCAGCCTTTCAAGCTGTCAGTAGCTCGTCACGCTGCCAGGGATAAGGCTGGGCTCATGAAGGACCTCGGAAATCCAGGGTTTCGTGGTAATGACATAAACTCTATCATCAGACAACTGAACTGAGAGACAACAAACAAAAGATGGACTTTAAGCAGCAACCTTTGGGATTCCCTTTTTTTGCAATCGGCAAAATTCCCACATGGAATCATGGGTTATTTTGTCTTTGACTCGTGTTTAAATAATTATACCATATGTAAGATATTTTGAATTTCTATTAAAATGTCAACTGTTACCTGTTGATGAGTCCTTTGTTAGTACATGTCAAGTTTTCCAAGGTGTACAGAAACGAATTCATGCTCAAGACATTTACGAACACAAGGATTTGTGACTGTCCTACGTGTGGGGCCCCCAGCCCACCTACAGTAAATTCCTTTACTGCATTTTTTTCTGTTGAGAGAAGTCCAACTTAAGGAGAGAGGACGTGTTTCTGCAAAAACACGACTTGTTATTGGATAGTTTGCATGTTGACTAAAAATACACAGTAAAACAGTTGATATCTTTTTTCAAGAAAATGCTTAAAAATACAAATAAAGAAAAAAAGAGAACTGTGAAATTTTGTGCAGTCTTGTTTCTATGAAAGAGGATCAGGGCCACAAGATAATGTCGAAATTTCAAGATTAAAAAAATCTAAATTTTTAGATTAAAGGGATATTCCGGCGTAAAATTAATTTAAGGTCAAACACATTGTGACACCGAGTTAGACACCCCCTGGAGAGATGAATGTTGCCAACCGCTTTTTTCTCCAGTTATACCAACTTTAGTAATGACCACAGGATAGCAATACACAGCGGTCTGAGGAAACGGTAAAAAAAAAACTCAACCAAAATGCCCCTCTATAGCCACAAATAATGCTCAGAACAGCAGCTAACTTCATCAACAGTACATATAGGGTCCCAGCCATAGTACTAGCCACCAAACATCTTTTTAACTTTGCCTGTTTTCTTTAGCGAAATGAAACACAACTCACCTACTCTCTTCCAGCAGCCACTTGTTTGTAGCGAGACCTCGGGCAAGTCCATTATGGACTGCTGCGGGGTGACGCAGCTCAAGGAAGAACATTTATGATCATTTCTTTATGGAAATGCAATCAGACTGAGATGCTAAGGCAGAAGAACCACCACGTCTGCAGTGCAAAATGATTAATATGAAGATTATTACTTAAAGGAAATGATAAAGTATCGATCATAAATGTTCTTCCTTGAGCTGTGTCACCCCACTGCAGTCGATAGACTTGCCTGAGGTCTCTGTACAAACAAGCGGCTGCTGGAAGAGAGTAGGTGAGTTGTGTTTAGTCTCTTTGTTAAACAAATTTGACAAAGTTAAAAAGATGTTTGGTGGCTAGTACTGTGGCTGGGACCCTATCTGTACTGTTGCTGAAGTTAGGTGCTGTTCTGATCATTATTTGTGGCTACAAAGTGGTGTTTTGGTTGAGGTTTGTTTATGGCTGCTCAGACCGCTGTGTATTGCTATCCTGCAGTTGTTTCTAATGTTGGTATAACTAGAGAGGCAAGCGATCGGCAACATTCATCTCTAGAGGGGGTGTCTAACTCAGTGTCACGGTGTGTTTGACCCCAAATTAATTTTATGCCGGAATATACCTTTAATTTCAAAATTTTGATTTTCTTACTCTCGAAATTTCAGCATTATTAACGACATTTCAACATTCTGTAATCTCAAAATTAATCTCGAAGTTTCGATTCATTGACATAATTTCGATTCTTTTTTTTTTTTTTCTAAAGGTCAAACTTAATAGAAAGCCTTTTCCTTATTCATGTTACATCAGGTTGTGTGCCAATTATATATTTTTGTCAACAATGCATTTGTGTTCGTTTGTACTACAAGGACCCTAATATGTAAGTAACTGGTAAAGGCTGATGGTTTAAATTAGAATAGCCTCGTTTTCTCTGCTGATGTGTTACACCGGTGTCACTATACATCCAGGGAGACACATGAGTCACCAGCCGGAGGAGGGGAAAGAGCTGTGGTGAAGGATGCAGCTGCGCTTACACGAATGCGCACTGGCAGAAGAAACGAGGATGACGATGGGAAACGATTTTTAAATGTCACTGATCTCAATTTAGAGGAAACGTGAGTCTCAAGCCTGTGGATGGGGATTTTATCCTGGGAAATGCACTTTATTCCTACTGTGAAGACGACCAGCTAAGGAAAAAAGAAAAACATTGGCGTGTGACTGTGTGTGTGATGGGGGCACAGCGAGGCTGTCATCGAATCCCAAAGGAGGACACATCAGCAGCCATTGCCATGGTAACTAATTACTGTACCACACGATGGCGGATTTGACCACAGCTGTGAACGCAGACTGGCGACATTACTAACGCTGGACATCGTCTTAACACGAATAACTGAATCTTATAATAGCTGACATGTCTTTATTTACTGTTAAACGACCGCCATATAACCGTGTCACCTTCAGTGTCACCGGAATTTAACTCCGGGTCATTTCCGAATGGAAAACTTGAGGGGGAAAAAAATCAATTGAGTAGGCTAATTAAAACGTAGGCTATTGGGATAGGCGAAGCGTTTTGTTGCGTTCAATTACAGTCGGAAATAGCAAAAATAGAAGGTTATGGAAGGGGGCATATTACATGCAGCGTTTGAAGGTGGCAAAATATAAAAAATAATATAAATATTGCTGTGTTACATTTTGTGCTTATGTGTACACCCTTAAATACGACAATGTGTATCGTGAAAACGCCAAAGTAACGACACGTACTACACTAATATTGCAATTATTACGAATCACGTGAACCTCAAAGGTGCGAAAGGTATGTAACCGGCGTTTCCCCCGTCTTTCCCGTCGATTGTGTAATTCCCTGAGAGTTTTAAAGGCACCATACGCTACAACCTAGTTTCAAGGAGAATGGGCGGTCTAGTGTCAGCCGACCTCACGAACAGATGCCTAGTGTTGTCATTGTGGCTTCAGTTTTGAGTCAGCAAAGACGGACGAAAGGTAAGCTCACTCAACTCGAAATTGAAGAAACCACATATATAATGTGTTATGTTCTTCGAAAGCAACACTGTACGCGTTTTTTAGTTCCGTGTTGGTGCACGAGGTGGCAGCTGAAAGTTTGGTTGATTGGGTAACTGAGCCATGTGGGTGTAAGGGGAAACGTCGCCGTGGTCTTAGTGGGAGATATATTCAAATTTTGTGTCTTTAGGTTGTGTTGGTAATGAATGCTGCATTATTGGTAATAGAACAGCGGTGTAATGCCCTGTTCTGTTCACTGTCCTGGACACTGTGGCACATGAGTAAGCATAAGCCGGTATGGCTAACTCGAAATGAATGACATGTTGGAGCGTGTGGTGGCAATTACCCGAGACAACAGCAGATCTTTGTTGAGAAGTATGAGGGAAATACAGATATTCTTCTTTATTATATCATGCCAGACCACCAGCCGATCACCAGTCCAAGCCGGGACTCATTTCGAGGTCGAAGCCAGACTATCTGGACCATAAGGTAGCCTACACGAAGACAGCACACAACAGCTGCTTTTCCTACACCTATCCTTGTGGTCTACAGGAATTTGAGTTTACGCACAAGTCTTACAATGCGTCATTGAAGGGTTCGGGATGCACAAAATTGCATTTTGCATTTCAACACAGTCTGGCTGATACCAATATTTTATAGGCCTATTACCTATTGTTGTAATTTTAGAAATATAATAGACGTCCAGCACTAGACTGTACCTGTTTTACTCATGGTGACAGTCTGTTTGCTTTTAAAGAGACACACACAAAGAAAAAACAAAACAATGGTGGACTAGGGCTGATGGTCAGCATGATTATATATCTTTTATAGTACTCATAGCTGATTACATTGATTAGTTGAAAGGTGTGCTAATTAGCTGCACAGTAACTATAGCTACTGTTAGCGCAACTAGTTAACTTTTGGTTTTAACATCTGATAAGGCATGAAAGTGAAGTTTTTATTTTGTAGTTTGAAGTATTTGGTCCTAACTTTAGATGTTCAGTTTTTCATTTTTGCTGTTACAAAACAATAGTTGTCAGGCTCATGTAGGGCTGGGCAATATGAGAAAAAGTTTATCACAATATATTTTTTTCATATCAGTCGATATCGATATATATCATGATTTAAAAAAGAAATTTAACAGTGCTTATTGGTAGCACGTCTTTTGCAATGCAATAAGCTACTGCGTCTGTGAGGTCTTTGTGTCTCTTCGATGTTCTGTTGTAAGGTCTTGCGCTAGAGAAAGCGGACTGAATGGTCGGCTGTTTTGGCTACACATGCGCCATGGGTTCCTTGCTCCGCTCGGGGTTTGTAACCTTTCGCATTGCACGTGCTCTGCGGTGTGGCACTGCTTCAGGTGGTGAAAAAGATTTGAGGTATTTCCCGACTTCACGAGAATATGTACTCGACATAATTTGCAGTGCACATTACTCTGCTTCATGTCCACCTCAAAAAACAAAACTTCTCTCACACCACCGACATTTCACCTGCATTTCTGCCGGGAGTAGCACTCATTTTCTTTTTTTCTCACTGACAGTGCTGTCGACCTCACTTGTTAAGGTGCTATGGTTGCGAGTAGCTGCAGCCTGGTACTACGCAGTTGTTTGCTACCTGGTTCTATCTTGAAGCTTGGGTTCTTCACTACCACAAACAGACACATAGCAGTTGATCTGTACAGTATACACCATAAAATCAAGAGGCTATGAAGAAATAAGTCGTTGATCGTCTGTACTCCTTTGACTCGTTCTGTGAATGGCAGAACTGTACTGTTGAACAATGCCAACACACTGTCCTTGGCAGATCCACCAGTCGTACTCCATTACTGTTGGAAGCCTAAGCTGCCAACATGATCAAAACTAATGCATTAAATGGCCATGATGTTTTTATTTCTTCCAGCACTGGTGATTAATAACTTTTAAAGCTTTTGTCTGCCTATACCAATGCTAAGCTGATAACTTTGCACATCCCTAATAAGGAGGTGTATCCTCATTTTTAATGTATTAGCTTGGAGGTAGTCTGTCAGTCATCTATCAGGCAAGAGAGAATTAGATGCTGAATTCAGACTATGCAATAGTACAATAAATATAATAGTTTTGAGTGAATCAATAAAAGGTAAATTAGCTTATATTTGCATCACTACATTCTTGTTTGTTTTATACTCAGTCCAAAGTGAAGCATGTTGAAATGGAATTCCCTGTTGGCCCAGCTTTTATAACCTTGTACCCCATCCTTGTGTACAAAAAAATGTGTCCAACCAAATTTCCTGTCAATGATAGTATTCGATGTTTGTAGTTATTTTTCCAAGCAGGCCAGGGTTCAGTTTAAGGTTTAATGATTACACGAATGATTGGCCTTTTTGGTCGCTGTGATACAAGCAGAGTGGGGGCCTGTGTGAGCACAAATTCCAGAGACGATCAGTGTAGACCAGCTGGGTCTTGGAAGAAAGTATGTGGAGTGCACACACACACACACGTATGGATATTCATGGCTTCTGACTTTCTTTAAACATTGGTGTCTTCTTTAGTGAGCCCCCACAAACACTGGTTATTATTTAACTCTTCAGCTTTACAAATAACCAGCTCTTCAAAAGGATGATATAGTACTGAAGTTTAGAGACTCCAGTAGCTGCAGTGTTGTATGATGGTGCTTTCTATTAACCATCCTAAAGCAATTTTTGTAAACTCATAAACATTTCATGCCAATTATTTCATGTAAGAAATTCACACAATAGCAGTTAAAAATATCATGAACTATTAACAGTATCGACCCTGTGAAACCTACTTTGTTTGACCCTTTTAACGGCTTTTGGTTTAAGTTTGAAATCAGTGGATTACCATGAAAATGGGCTCCTGATTTCTATAAACCAGGTTAGTGATACATTGATTTAACATTGGTTGTTTCCTGTGTTTCGGCAGTACAGCACTGCCACACAGGCTTCATCTCAAAGCCTCACATAGCCTAAGCCTGAACTCACAGAGCTGTCAACTCTGCTGGACCGAAAATACGTATATGTATGAAGACAAGTGTAACAGTATGAAACAAATGCAAATAGGACAGATTATGCTGTTTGTTAAATACCCTGACTTGAGATAATTCTGATCTTTTTCTGACAAACAAGGACTGATTTCTACTGGTCTGGGACAAGAAGTAAATTTCATGCCTGTGGGTGAAGACAGTAGGGTACAGGCCGGGGTGAATTTACCACCCTGTGCCGACTACGGAGAATTTGTTCTGCCAGCCCTTTTGTAAAATCTCTGCAAGAATTTCATGTGAGCCAGTTTGTGAAAGCAGCATAAAAGTCAGAAGGACCCACAATAAATGAGTAAGACGAGACAATGACGTTTGGATCAGGTTCACTTTAGGTTTGTTGTACATCATAGTTAACATTACTGCTATGGGTTGTTTGATTTTAATTACTTACTGGGACGTTAAATTTTTCATAATTCTACGATCATGCTACCAGTGTAGAAGAGCTACTTTACCATCTTAAACATGCCAGCATGTTCTTCTCTGCTCTGTAGTTTATACAGTGAATTGCCTTTTTAACATGGAGAGGGGAAACCCTGTTATCCTATTATCCTACAGTGTCTGTGTCTGCTTGGCCTGCTGCCTCGATGTCTTGTTAACATTACACAGACACTACTGCAGCATCCTTTTTACATCACGCCCTGCCTTCTGAGACCTCTTCTCTCCCTTTTGTCTTAGAAAGATACTATAATGAACAACAACTTGAGGGAATTTGAGGGGCAGAAAGCCAAGAAAGCTGTTAAAGAGGGCTCCAGTTGTTCAGACCAACCAAGATAAAAGTTTTAGTGGTGATAACTAGTCCACCTGAGCTCTGAAACTGCTGAGTTAAGCTGACAAACTGATGGTATGACCTGTGACCCAACTAGTTAATTTACAAAGGGCTGGTCACTTGTGTTAACAGCCAATCGGCACCAGGAGAGGTCAGCTTGATGAGCGTGTAAAAAAACTGTTGCTAGATTGAAATGACACCAACAAAAACTGAAGAGTCAAACATAAACAGTAAAATGTAAAGCAGAGCAAAATCCCGATGACTTCTGTCAAATGGATCGGATGTTTTGTGGTAGAGCTTTAAGAGCACATTTTTTCTCGTGTAAAGTTTATTAATCATATATGAAATGTTTTAGTTTTGAATTTATGTGATGAGCTCAAGCTAGCGAAAGTATGCTAGTGCTAGCTAACCATAGAGTAAATCAGCTTTGGGAAGAATTTAGTAAAAACAATCATTCATCTGTCTGCTGCGATAGTTTCTTTAGCTGAGAGCAAACAGCGTCAGGACAGAGGAGATGCTGCTGAGATTTTAGAACAAAACAGAAGCCCCCCCCCAGGAATTGACAGCAACCAACTGGTGCAGAAGCAAACTGGTTTCCTTTGGCAATTTGTTATTGTGGGGAAAAATTCCCAAGTATTACGCATTGCAGCAAGCCATTAACTGTACAGTCAGATGAGAGTTGCCTGTGGGGTCAAGTACTCTGTGGAGGCAACATAAAGTGAGTGCTTTTAGACTGGCACGGCTTTGAGTAATGCAGATGAGTGATGAGTAACCTGGTCCTGGATCTTGTACTGTGGTATCAGCCTGACTGCTAACCATCTGACTCTTGGGGGAATTATGGATTACCATACAAATAACTACAATTTGTTCGTAATCTTATTATGATAGTGCATGTAGTCTCTCTAGGCTGTCTGCTTCTCTCTCAGCCTCTGTAAATGTTCATCCTGTTCTGTATCCACCAATCATAAATAAGCATCAATCTGTAATACTTGGAGCGAAGTGATACACCTCAAAGAATTTTTAATGTCACACACAGAGGCTTTGTCACTTGACCAAAAAATATCACAATAAAATAACTGAATGGTGCACTAATGTTTGAGGTCTGTTATTTGATTGAAAACACTTAAAAAAGTCATGTTAAAACTGAGAAATTTAACCGCTGGACAAAATTTAAGTGCCTCATTGCTGGTTTAGCCTTCCCATGTGGTATTATTATAATGGCATTAGTTTTGAACAGGAGAAGGTTTTTTTTTTTGTTTTGTTTGAGCAAAGCAGTGCAGGACTGCAGACCAAGGTTGTCGGTTGGTGGTGCATACATCAGATAGACTTTATCAGCAAGCACATGCTGCATAGGTCTGTTTTTTTTTTTTTTTTTTTTAAATCCACCCAAAAATGATGTTTCTTGGCATGCCTTTTACTGCGTTAAATATTTGAGGTACTAAGCTACAGTCACGCCTGTTGAAATCTCTGTGTAATGGGTGCTCATGATTCATGAACCGAATCAGCTGACTGGCTTGCATCCAGACCATCACACAAAGTCGCCTAAAAGATAATAAGTCATAATGATAAGAGTGGGATTTTGTAAGGTCTTAGCCAGGGCTTGATCAAACCAGGACAAGCATCACACAGACAGTTCTGGCAGTGAAGGACATAATTTCACATACTTATGGTTTCATACATGCAAGTCCTGCTGAGTTCTTCTGTAGTTATTTGAAGGACAAAGTTTTCTGACCCTATAATGCTCCCTTCGAGCTTGACTTATACCTCACCTACTGTAAGCCTCACTGCAAACAGGTGAGGTTCTGTTTATCAGCATGTAGTCTGCATGAAAAAATCAAATATCATTTTCAACTATTTTAATGATTTTAAAAAACTTTTTAATATTTTATTGTTTTTAAGCTGACAAATGCTTCCTCTGCTCCGTGTTTCTCAGGGGAATAAAACCAAATTGAGACCTAAATAATTAGATGGGAAGAACAGGTAAAAGGCTAGGGAGCTCTGGGTCTGGGACCCACTGTGCACTGAGGTGTTGGGGAACTATCAAGTCTTAGAGACTGGGTCTAAGTTAGAGATACACCGATGAATTTTTTTCTGATCCAGTACAATACCGATACCTGGGCTGAGCGTATCAGCCGATCCAATACTACTGTTGAATGAATGAACTGTATACCTTGCCCTGTGAGTGAAAGCATCAGGCTTGACATTCGCCTTGGTAAAAAAAACAAAAAAAACTTTATATTACTTTATATTATTTATTAACAAATAACAAATTGCACATTAGCACACAGCAAAAAGAAGTAAGACTAAAGAAAAATTGATTAAAAGAAAAAAAAAGAGACTGGATCGGAACGCTGGATCGGCATCATTCATCAGATATCCAGTCCAGTTAATTTGTCAATATCAGAACCAATATCCAATCCAAATATCAGATCGATGCATCCCTAGGCAGAGTCCTGTGGAGCTCCTGGTCTGAAAATTTGCGACCTATTTTGTTTTTCTGGGAAACAGTTTCCATAAATAATTAGGGCAAACACAGAAAAGATTAATAAATGTATCTGCTTGTCTTTTAATTTGTTTTAATCTCTCTTTTTTCATCTCCTTGCATCTGTAAAGCACTTTGAATTGCCTTGTATAGAATGGTGCTATACAAATAAACTTGCTTCACCTAATGTTCTGATTTCTTTCCCCTTGTCCTTAAAACCCGTTTCACTCTGTCCTCACCTCTCTGCAGTCGGCTGCCCTTCAGCGTTCCCTTTTGTGAGTGAACTAATATCAATAGAGAGCAGCACAACACGTTGAGAAAAGCAAGGTGATCTTATTTCAATGTGAGCACAGCAAGAAGTGTCTCATTATGTTCACAAAAATACAACCCCTGTAGAGAAAATCAAGAGGACCGGGTAATGGATCTCTTGTATAAACACATCAAGAGATAAGGTTCTGTTTGCTTAAAATCATCCATGTCCAAAAAGAAAAGAAACATGGCAGGATATTGTGATATGACGTCTTTCTGATGCATTTCCTAAGCGTGGTGAAAATATTTTCCTGATTCCTGTTTTTTTTTTATATACCTGCCTCCACAGTGACAGTGATTGGATGAGGTCACAAATATACTCCCTTCCAGCAGGCCTTAAGTTTTAGAGAGCACCAGAGGCCAGCAGCAGCTACATCCCAACGTAAGTACACGCATTTACTGTTTCTTTTCCATGCTTATTTTAAAGTGGCGACTACATACATGACTGTTTACATTTTTCAAACTAGGAGACCGACATTTGTGTTTTTGCTGTGATACAAAAGGGCGAATAGTTTGCATTTGTGTGAAGTTCTGCACTGTTTGTACTGATAAACCAAAGCCTTTCTTAACGGTTTGTTTAAAATTATATAAATAGCCATTTCTACCACGGCCTATTGATATTTACTCTGCCCTGAAACATATTGTTTTCCCATCTGGGTTTATCCAGGAAGTAGGAAGCAGATGCTGTAACTTGAGTAACGGACAGTATGGCGCACCGCATTAATTTCTGACCTTGATGGAATAATAATAAATGTGTTAACCCAAGAGTCCCTGTACTAATGTGATCACGAGTCATGACCACAGGTGTTGACTCCTTTAGAGGCGTATGTAACCAGTCCAGATTACTCATTTAAAGGCGTTTGTCCACCTCTCATAGTTAGTAGAAAGTTGTCCTGTAGTTAGGATGACCATACGTCCTTTTTTTTTACCTGGACATGTCCTCTTTTTGGGGGCTGTCTGGCCTTTTCGAGGGGAGTGTATAAAATCCTTCAAATGTCCGGGATTTTGTACAGAAGCCCGTTTGTTTCCCCTGTATTTACCATACACATTCAATGGTTAATTTAGAAAAACTCTCTGAGACGCCAAACCCTGGAACGTGTATTTATTCATTCACTATAAAACAGTGCAGCGCATCTGCTGCTCTGCCTCTGCACTGTCTGCCGGTGAGCAAAAGAAAAGGGGGGAAATATTTTTCTTTTCTAAAATACAGCTGTGAATGTTCTGAATCACTTAAAGTTATTCTCATGTTAAAATGGCTTTTTACAAAACAGCTTTTTAGCAGTTATATGTAGTAATAACAATAATAAAAAGAACTATTGTACCAGTTGAATAGCGTATAATAGATAAAAATACACATCAATGTGAAGAAATGACTGTTATTTAGGGAGAGAGAAGGTGAGGGAGGGCTGGGGTGGAGAGTGGGGGGTAGTAGGGATACAGCTCAACTTACCCCACTCCTATGGTCAACACACCCCATACATAAATTGACCATAGGAGACCACTTTTTTTTGGCATGCTATATCATCAAGACAGTTATGTTTACACTCATTCTGTTGGTTTGCAAGGATGCACAACATCTTGAAAAATATGCAGATACACTAGTTAGAGACAAAACTATGATTGCCTTGATGTAGTGATCCGAAATATGAAAAATGGCTTTAAATTGTGCAGTCTGACCTCAGTATAATAGGATGATTTTTTATTTCTTAGTTAAATCTTAAAATTATGAAACCATATAGTATACAACTTTTTCTTCTCATTTGATATAGTACACTAATAATATCTGATTCAGTTTTTTCCATAACTAAACGCTTTGAATTAAGAGTTGTCAGGTCCATTACAGTCCAGCACTCAGTAAGTGATGATCTCTACACTTTTTTCCTCTAGCACTTCTTTTCAGTCCTCCAATGGGTCAAGTATTTTCTCAAGGGTTGTGACCACCCTTTAAAGGCCCTGCTTTCAACAGCCTCCGCTCCTTCAACCCCCCGCAAACAGCGCTACCATGGGGGAGGTCGTACAAATGCACTTCACTACGGTGGACTATGTCATCTTTGCCTTGCTGCTGGTGGCCTCAGCTGGCATCGGCCTCTTTTATGCCTTCTCTGGTGGGCGTCAGCGCACAACACAGGTGGATTCATATCTTTCTCCATTTTTCTGACTAACTTAGTCTTTGTTTTGCTGTACCATCCTCACCTGTCACAGTTCAGAAATGTTGATATATATCGTTTCAGAAAAGTCTGACTGCAACTTTTTTTTTGTCTGTTTCAGGAGTTTCTCATGGCCGACCGCTCCATGAGCTGCCTGCCTGTCTCTCTGTCCCTGCTGGCCACGTTTCAGTCAGCTGTAGCCATTCTTGGTGCTCCATCTGAGGTGTACACCTTTGGGACTCAGTACTGGTTCCTGGGCGTCTCGTACTTCTTGGGCCTGCTCATCCCAGCTCACATTTTCATCCCGGTCTTCTACAGGCTGAGATTGTCCAGTGCCTATGAGGTATGAGGCACACGTTCTTCAACATGACTGTGCCAAAGTGGTTGTTTAATGATCGTCTAATGCGACACCTCAAACACTTTTTTAATTGTAATCTCCTCTTTTCTCTGTCTGCTTGTGTTTTGTTTTCACTCCGTCGACACCTGTTTCCTGCTCCCCTTGGCTTTGTCTTGCTAAAGTATGATCTCAGAGATAAACATCCTTATCTGACCTTTTTTCTACTTAACCTCAGTGTGTTAATGTTCACAGAAACAAATGTCCTTGTGCTGAGACTGAACATCGTAAAAGCGTACTTATCTACAGGGACTGATTTTGTCATTGGCTGGGAACAGTGCTGCATAAATGTCCTGGGTTTACTCTGATAGTGTGGATTGAAACTGTTATTTCCAGTCTGTAGACTAAATATCACAAACAACACTCATGGTTCAAGGCAGAATGACTCTGAGATGATAGCTTTGTCTGACTTTTGATTTTGTTTACTCTTTTTTATTTTCTTTGACATTTTCTCCCCATGACAGTATCTGGAGCTGCGCTTCAACAAGACTGTTCGCATATGTGGGACTGTGACCTTCATCTTTCAGATGGTATCTTTGTTTATATTTTATCAGTTTTCGGATGTCTTCATGTTAACATATTTTTACCTTAAAAAAAAGGCCCACGATGTAGCCCACCAAAAGAAAACCAAGTAAAGACCGTGGTTACTGTGGAAATCTTTCAGGCAAGGCTGTCAACTACAGCAGACAGGGTCAATTTTACCATTTAGTTTGGAGGTTTTTCTTTCATAAGAGTGTCAAAAATGTCTGGGAAACCTTATATCCTGACATATCAGTAGATTATAGGGAGATTATATCTTAAAAAGTCAATTTTCTGTATCAGAAGATCTAAAATGTTCTGCAGAGATACTTACTAGTTAGAAAGGAGGTGCATTAAATGTGTGCTTGCAGATGCTGATTTCACAATAAACCGACCATCACAGGAAGAGTAACACTTAAACTCGGACCAACATTGTATTCTTTAGGATTAAAAGACATGTGTATATATACATAATGGTTTCCATAACAGTATTGGCCAGAATGAGTTTGAACATGTCAGATATCAGCGAAAATCTTATACCATAAATCCCCAATTCATTCATTTATATGTGCTGCCTTCATGGACTTAGATGACACCATGGATTCATACAGTCCAGGGTCCGAGAACACAACATGTCATAGAACAGAAGAAGAAGAAACAAAACACTTACTTACACTTAAAAAATTGTTCTTTTTTAGTCTTTTTGAGACTTTGCCAATAAACAGCAAGTCTAGTATAAGTTTATTTTGACATATTTGATTGAACTCGTCTAGTTTAGTGTAAATTTCACTGAGAGATTTTTCTGCCGTCAGCAAACAACTTTGTTTTGGCACTAATTTCTGGGTATAGTAATGGCCTGCAGTGATCATCTGCTGAGATCTATGGTGAATAAACTAACTTGAATTTTAAAACCGTTCACTCATAGTTATGTTTTAGATTCTCTTGGACTGAGTATTTTATCCTTGTTTGAGATCGTGTTAATAAATACAAGCTTATCATCTGGCTGACACATTACAGCTGTAGAGTCTATTTTAGTTCAGTTTACAACGGCACGTAGTGTGATTTGATAAGGCCGTGTCAAACTGACCCTTGTAAAAATGTTATTAATTCAAAGTGTAGCAAACATTATCTTTTTAAGAACATCTGTATGACTAGCATTTTTTTGAAATCCCTTTGAAAGTGGACGGGGTTTTACAAGTGAGGAACATAAAACTGGACATGTGTGAGTCAACCGGCAACAAAACGTGACTTCTGAGCTCAGCTCTTTTTTTGTGAGTCTCCTTGACCTGCAGAGTTGTTCATTTTTTCTCTTTCCCTTCAGGTCATTTATATGGGTGTAGTCTTGTATGCTCCAGCCCTGGCACTCAACGCTGGTAAGAGAAGCACAGACAATCTATAGACTGATGCAAATATCACATTTGCTGTTGTTATACTCCTGGCCAATTCAGTAAACCAGTGCTCTCCTTCTTTCCACTTGCAGTCACAGGTTTTGACCTGTGGGGGGCAGTGCTAGCCATGGGATTGGTGTGCACTCTGTACACTGCTTTGGTGGGTTTTCAACTGCTTTGACAAAATTAAACACTCTGAAACAGACAAACTCCAACACACCTGATTCAAATGATCAGCTCGTTATCAAGCTCTGTAATGGCTAACTAACGAGCTGATCATTTGAATCAGGTGTGTTGGAGCAGGGAAACATTCAAAACATGCAGGACAGTGGGCCTCGAGGACTGGACTTGAGGACCACTGGTCTAAAAGATGCTGAAATGTTGTAGTTCACACTTTTTATGGGAAATGATCAGTTATTAAAAACCCAAATGAAGGCTGAAAGCACCTGCTAACAGTTGGAGGGTATCCTGTAAGTTAAGGAAATCAAAGTAAAGAGAAATTCTGATTTACCAAGTTCAGAGCAGGCTCAAGGGAGTGTGAGAATGAACTTATTAAAGATGAATAAGTCCTCTACCAAAAGATCTGCCTGAGTTTGATCTGTTTGTATCAGTATGTCGTGGTTTTCACCTGTTTGTGTAGATTTTAGTGTAATATATTGCTGCTTTTGTTTCCCAGGGGGGTCTGAAAGCGGTGATCTGGACCGACGTGTTCCAGACAGTGGTGATGTTTGCAGGCCAGCTGGCGGTCATCGTAGTCGGGGCCAGTCAGGCAGGAGGCATAGCAGAGGTGTGGAAGAAAGCAATCAATGGCAGCCGCATTGCTGGACTGGAGTAAGTAATATTTGAAGTGAAGCAGAATTAAGAATCCTCTTCGATTTGAAAAGGTTTGACTTTGCTTTCTTGAATTCGTACTCAGGAGTGTATATTTTATTCATACACCTTTGCAGCCTGAACCCTGACCCCCTGGAGCGCCACACCTTTTGGACCCTCGGTGTGGGAGGAGTCTTCCTGATGTTGGCGCTTTACGGGGTCAACCAAGCCCAGGTCCAGAGATACCTCAGCTCTCGCACAGAAAAAGAGGCCATCATGTAGGTACCAATGGTGTTTTGCAACCATAGACTGTATATACAATGGACAGCATCTGCCTCCTCGCTGGGTGAAGCCACTCAAAGAACAGCACCCTCTGGTGACTGGCTGCAGTATAGGTCATAAATCCCGCCTCCTCCAGCTATCCTAATGGAACTGTGGACAAACTTTAGAAATTCATTACACAGAATACACATTTTTCTCCCCCCTACTTGCGATGTTGACATGTAGTTACAGTAAGACTGGTTTGTGTTGAAGTCCTCTTTTTTCCGTGCAGCTCAGTTTTTAAAAGTTATTAGGGGGTTCATGTTTTCTATGATTGACACTTGATACAGCCTATGGGCTTAAAGATTATGTTGCTCACCCAGGGGAATCGCCGTTTGAGCCAAGCATCATCACAGCGACTCTCGGCGACTAACCTGCAGAAAACATACAATGCTACTCCGCAACACGGGATTACTTTTCAGCTTCAAATCCGTATACTGGCGGAAGGCGGGACCAAGTTGTCCATAGTATATACAGTCTATGTTCACAACATACTTAGCTAACCCATAAACTAGTATAGGCTAATGCTTACTAAGGCTAAGCGCTTGTTCATAAAAGTCTGCCCTCAGCGGCAGCATGGCTAACTTATTCCTGTGTCTCAAACAGAGGCAGGCAGCCAAGTGAGGGAGGCTTTTGGACTGAACAGTAACAGCAGGAAACACTGTCAGCATTAAAATGATAAACATCATAAAATCAATTTGGTAGAAGCGTGTGTAAAAGTTAGACTTTTCCTCATGTCACTTAGACTTAAAAGGGTGATAGACTTAATCAAGACTTTGTATGTTTAGGTCTCACACTTGCCAAACTCTACTGTATTCATGTCATTTTCTTTACTGCTGTTCATACACACCCTGAAAATCTGGGTCATCTTGTCTCCCTTGTTGTATCTCTTGAGAGTTTGTTTCCATGTTTGTCCTCCTTATCTCTTTTGTCCTTACAGGTCCTGTTATGTTGTTTTCCCATGCCAGCAGGTCGTCTTATGTCTTGGCTGCCTGATGGGTCTAGTCATGTTTGCCCGCTATGGAGAGGACAGCCCACTAGAGAAGGGCTACGTCAAAACCAATGACCAGGTAAGCAATAATATGCCAGTACACATCAACAAAAGTTGTCTGTGGACACAGAAGAGCAGGTCCAGATCATGTTCTTGTACTTTCACACTATACAATGAAGTGTTCATGCAGTATACAGTATCCTGATATCTTGTTTCTATGTGCAGATGGTGCTGTATTTTGTTATGGATGTGTTCAGGGATCTGCCCGGGCTCCCGGGCCTGTTTGTAGCCTGTCTCTTCAGCGGCGCGCTCAGGTAAACATCCAAAGATCAGACTTAAGAGTCAGATATCATTCACTGTTCAATGCTTTTATTCCTGTGTATACCACTGGACTTCATTTACCACCATACCATGAATCAACATTATTATTCAAGCTCTCTGTATGTTTTCCTCCAGCACCATCTCATCAGCTTTCAACTCCCTTGCAACAGTAACAATGGAAGACCTGATTAAACCTTATTTTCCGAACATGACAGAGGCTAAAGCAACGCTGCTGTCCAAGGGGCTGGGTATGGAAAATAATGTTTTTGAGGGGAGGCTGTTTACTTTTTGAAGACATAAATGCCTCACATATACACACTTCATAGTGGGTTTAATTTTCAGTGTACTGTACAGTTGGGATGTCTCTTAGTTCTTAAGCTAAAAATAACGTTAAAAGTCAGCATCAAATATTACCATTTACTTAAAGGGATATTCCGGCGTGAAATTAAGTTAGGGTCAAACACACAGTAACACTTTGTTAGACACCCCCTCGAGAGATGAATGTTGTCTACTGCTCGCTTCTCTAGTTATACCAACTTTAGTAACGACCGCACGATAGCAATACACAACGGTCTATGGATCCACGCGCACACCTCAACCAAAAAGCTACTCTGTAGCCACAAATAATGCTCAGAACAGCACCTAACTTCATCAGCAGTACATATAGGGTCCCAGCCATAGTACTTGCCACCAAACATCTTTTTTACTTTGCCTAATTTCTTTAGCAAAGCGACTAAACACAACTCACCTACTCTCTTCCAGCAGCCGTTTGTGTGTAGGGAGCCCTCAGGCCAGTCCATTACAGTGAGTTGCGGGGTGACGCAGCTCAAGGAAGAACATTTATGATCATTTTGTTCATGGAAATGCAATCAGACCGAGACGCTAAGGCAGAAGAACTACTTCGGCTACCGCTGTGTATTGCTATCGTGCGGTCATTATTAAAGTTATAACTAGAGAAGCAAGCGGTCGGCAACATTCATCTCTCAATGGGGTGTCTAACTCGGTGTTTCGGTGTGTTTGACCCTGACTTAATTTTACGCCGGATTATCTCTTTAATGTGATGTGGTGATAAAATGTGTCCTTATCTGTTAAATTTACAGCTTTGGTCTATGGCCTGGTGTGTCTGGCGATGGCTTACCTCGCTTCTCTAATGGGATCTGTGCTGCAGGTAATGTAGCTACGTGGTCCTTGCTTTCATATCTCATATATATGCTGGCAAATTATGTTTGTACTTAGATTATTTTTTTCATATGTTGCTGAAAGTACTACTATCCACGTGGTTTTTGTCTGCACGCACATTATCAGCAACTTTTGAAGCTAACGTCCTCTTTATTTTTTGTGTGTGTGTGTCTTTAGGCAGCCTTCAGCATCTTTGGGATGGTGGGTGGTCCTCTGCTTGGCCTCTTCTGCCTGGGAATGTTTTTTCCCTGGGCCAACTCAATAGTGAGTTCTTCCAACTTTGTTCACAGATAAACTGTAATGAGGAGTTGGAAATATCATTTTCTCCTTCTCAGAAAATGAATCACTCCATCCAGTCAGGAGGGATGCATAAATAACTAATGAACTACATGAATTATTTTGTTAAAAGTTAAACAAATCCCTTTTTTCTTAAAGGGTGCAGTGGTGGGGTTAGTCGCAGGTCTAGCTATGGCCTTCTGGATCGGCATCGGCAGCTTCGTGATGCGTATGTCTAGCACAAGCCTGGTACCAACACTCAACGCCACTGTCCCGCCTCTGTTCGACAACATGACCACCACTGTCATGACTGGACTTGCCACTGCTACCACAGCCAAGCCCAGGTAAGACCTGAGAACGGTCTTTGTGGACACATGCACGCTTAATCATTCTGGTTAAACTCCACCGAGTGAAGATGTTCAAGTTTCCATCTCTGAATTTCTTTCAGGCCCACAGGCGTAGAGGCCCTCTACTCTTTGTCCTATATGTGGTACAGCGCTCATAACTCAACCACTGTGGTCGTGGTGGGTCTAATCGTCAGCCTCCTGACAGGTACACGTTCAAGTTTATACCAGTTTCCAAACCTCATCACTCAGTACGTTCACATGACACTCAATAAAACCAAAGTATTGCCTTACTCTGATTAAGACCAGACAAGCGTACATGTAAACAATTATTCCGATCGCCACTCTCTGACCTGACTCGATCTTCACTCTTTGACCTTTGGCTTATTTATTGAGGTCAGTACAGAAGGTTTCATTATTAACACACAACTGCAGGTGCCGTGTCTGCTCCTCTGGTAACATAACAAGGCGTACATACAGAGTAATGATGTCACATCTGCACGCAGTGTTTGACAGAACAGTAAAATAAGTAAGCAAGGGCGCCATCTGGTGACATCATTTAACAGGGGGAAAACTCCTGAATTGGATGGAGTGAGCCACTACCCCTTTTGTTGGTTTGTTGACAGCACAAGCGTAAATACAACTCTCCTTCTGCGGTTGTTTTAGCCAAATAAGACAGCTGCGCATGTCCAAACGCTTCTAATCTGAATAAAGCTTGATCGATTTTGCACCCGTATAAACACTGGATTCAGATTATCGGATCCCTTCAATTTTTGATCGGATCAAAAAAAATTTGCCCATGTCAACATTGTTACTGATTTTATGAGGCTGCATCATCTGCAAAGAAGTTTCAGTCACATGGCTGGTGTTGTGAATAAGCCACTACTGCATCCCCTCTGTATCTCCTGGTTAACTGTAGCTATTTGGTCTTATTTTCTTACATTCATGTAAGCCTTTTATTTTGAAAAAGCAGATTATAGGTTCATCTGCTGTCTTGTTTTTGTGTGTGTGTCAGGACCTATGAAGGAGAAAGAGCTGACCCCTGGCACAGTGTTTCCAGTCCTGGGCACACTACTCTTCTTCCTTCCTGAGCGCTACAGAGAGAAGCTCTGCTGCATCACTCCTCTGACTCAAAAGGTACCCTCCTCTTTCCATTCTTTACTCCTTCATGCTTTTACATTAAACCAAGCATTTAACATTATTTCTGCCGACCAGCCCAAAGAAATCAGCACACAGCCTTATCAGATGGCCAAGAAAGACAGCAGCGGAGCGACTTACTGCAAAGAGGACGCGGTCACAAAAGACAAGGAGACAGAGAGTGACAAAGCACAGACAGACGACGACGACTTGGAAACAAGGATGGCTCTGCCCTATTGTCAACTGTCATCTCATACGGTTCAGGAAACTGCCTTGTGATCTTTTCTGTCTTAGCTGAATGATATGGACGAGAAGCACAGTTTCACTCCCTGTAACTCAGGGATGAGTGCAGTAAAACAGATAATAGATGAAAAGGCCATCCCAGAGTATTATGTCCTGAAGGTCTACAGCGTAAGATGTTTGTATTTATGTTTCCGATGGCACAGCCAGCTGATTCTGATCACGGATGAGGCTTGTGGGTTTAAGAATTTATGTGGGTAAGTTTATTTTAACAGTATCTTTTTAGAGAAATATAACTGGAAACACGTCTGCCAGGCTGGAACTGCGCACTGAAAGCAACAATCAAAGAAGAAACACTAATGTCTGCTGGCGTCACTGGCAACACTCGGATGCACACAGGTCTGTGCAGGTGTGTGCTAATGAATGTGTGGAGTTTAGATTTAAAGATGGGAGCTCTCCTGCAGAGTGAGCTGTCCCATCCTGACTGGATCTAGTCTTTTTTGACTCAGAATCAGAGCATGTAAAATGTGATATTTTTTTGGAGAAGATAGAAATATGAAATCCCAGAATAACTACGAGAAAATATAAGACAAAGAGAGACTACTTGTATGGAGAGTATAAGATGATGTTGTAGTGTCTTTTACATGGCCTTGGTTAGTACTAGTATTCACCTTCTAGCTGCTACTACAGATGTTTGAATGCTGAGTCACATACACTAAACTAGCCGGTCACATGGGAACAAAACTGGACTCCTAAAGGAAGTTAAAGTCAGGTGCATCAGGAGAAAGCAGAAGAGTCGGTGTGAATGCTGCTGTGTTCTGATTGTGCGCACAAATAGGGGTTTAAGGTACTACTGTCTTCTGGTTTTATGCTTGAAAGGATCTGTGTACATCAAATCCAGGGTTGTGCCCAGCTGAGAGTGTGGTCAGACAAATTTAGCGTTCAACCTAAAGACGGGAATTTCTCTTTGTTTTTCACTACACTCTGCAAACATCCTTCATCAACCTGCAGCAGAATTCTCCTGAGTAATGTTACCTACAGGAGGAAGAGTAATTATTTCTCCAAAAGCACCAGCTGTCTGCTAGACATAACACATCAATTCTGTTCTTTTTTTTAAATCATCTCATCCACATTTCTAATTGTCCTTGGACTCCAGCATCATCACTCAAATCCAAGGACAAAGTCTGGATTAATGTCAGGTTTCTGGATCTTTAGTTAACCTAAGATACAGACCAGTCTTTGATTTATGTAGTCTGACTTGCAGCAGCAAAATCCCTCTGAAGGATGTCGGTGAGTTATGTTTTTTCCTCTCTATAACACTGCTTTACTACTGTTTTTGTAACTATAAAGTGTGTGTATCTTAGACCTCTGAAGATAATTCAGCTTAATTTGTTTTTGTGAATGAGTCTCAAAATTTAAAAGCCTAAGTCTGACATGTTTCAAGTATTTCTAAATATTCAGTATTATACTCTGGGAGAAAACCACAGAGACGCTGATGTTTATTGACTAATTGATGACTTTTAAAGAAAACCAGTATGTTGATTTAGGATTTGTGAACAATATAAGCAGCGGTCATCTTGAGTTGGCATTGAAACACATTTGGGACACTAAAAGGTGATCACTATCTCCACCGTTCAAAAACTTTGGTGCAGTTTTTATTGTTTTTTTTTATCAGCATGATTCACCAACATAATGGCAGACACTACAAACGGGTTGCCTTTCATCATCCATGTTAGCAGGTTGCAGCTGCTAGAGGCCAAATCAGCAGGGTAGCTATGTGGCAGAGTATGTTGCTGTCTTACAAATCTTGTGGTTCACCTATTTTTTGAAGTTTATTTAATTTATTTATAATTATTTTGTCTTTTTTTTCTTTTGTAGGGAGGTTCTCAGCAGCTTTCACCACTAAAAAGATTATGAAAGAATAGCTACATAGATTGCCATCATATGAGCAATACAATATTACACTACGAATAAGACAATATAACACTTATTTAATATAATTTTAACTTATTAGCTCAAAGATGTCAGTTTTTTTTTTCTTTTATTTATTTACAAAAATTCACTTTCACAAGGCAAATTTAACTGGTAGCAGCAGCAGCAGGGTTGTGCCTGACTGCAACCATACAACGCTACTAAAAGTATATTTTTGACTCAGCATTTTTCACCATTAAACCTTTGTGTTTTTTTATTTATCTGTAGTGAACATGCCCTGAGCATTTATAACCCGGATATGTTCAGGAAATACACTAAGTCATCATGCAAGACCAAAACAGTGCCTCTCATATTGAGCGGATTTGTTCTCAATACACTAAAACTCAGATGGGTCTTTGGCATTGATCGGAGTTGATGTCTTGAAACGTGTAGCCCATAGCGACCACAATCTCCGCGGGCCTGCCGCTGCTCCCACCTGATGTAACTGCCCTGAAAAAAGCACAGAAACACTACAGGTCACTGCTGTTGGTAGAAACAGAATGAAAGGATCAAGGGTCTTAATGTTTTTGCAAATCATCACATTGAACACATCACATTTTGATTCACGTCCTATTTTGAAAATGAGGTCGTCATCATCAAGGCTTATAAATGTAAAGATGATTCAGTCATCTCTTCTTCTTCTGTTTGTATTTGAACTTTTTACCTCCTTGTAAGTGCCCGTCTCTTTTAATTCAGGTAATGTAAGTGCCAGTATGTGATTGATTTGTGTAGTCAAGTGAAGTTCAAATATCGTCACTGTCATGATTTTTGGAATCACCGAATTCTTGACCTTCATGTTTTAGCCTTTTGAAGTCACCCATTGTCATTGTGGCCACTGAGGTGTTTTGTGTGTGCTGTATTTTGAGTCAATGCTGTCTGTGCTCTCGATTATTGACCCCATGGCCATGTTTTGTCATGTGACTTAATTTTCCTATTGTTGAGCATGTGAATGAGAAACCAGTCCAACGTGTTTCTAAAGAGACTTTAACAGTCCAGAGTCCACCTGTATCTCAACCCTCTGACTGTGCTTCGTCCGCATGCTGTTACATGCCTGAAGACTTCGATATCTGTGTCTCAGTTGCCTTAAAGATCCTGTTTAAACCACCTATAGCTGAAGTTGCAGATTTACTTTAAGTACATGCCAGACAATCACGGTGACCTAGTTGAGCAACAGGAACGAAACACTTGAGTGTGTTTCTCTGTTCTTTGAAAAGGATTACAGACTCTTGACTTTTCTGGACCCCCTTTATGATGGAATGTTGATCCTTTTTGACCGGCTTAAGCAGTAGTTTGTTAAAAACAAGCAACTTCCTATACCATACTCATCGTCCTTATACTGCGAAATACCTCGATTTATCCAAAGCATGTAGACAAAGAAACTTTTGCTTTAAACCAACAGATGATTTGTTTTTGATTGTATTTGTAATTTAACTAAAAGCCTACATGCATTTCACAATTTGAAATGCACGTTTTTATATTTAAGAACCATGATTTTATTTTATTTACGTGAATGTTAAAGGATTTGATGGTAGCAGTCCACTACAGGACGTATGAGCGTCCTTTTGCCTTAGACAACATTTCCCTCTGGAAATGTTGCTCAAACTCAGCTCATGTGATAACGCTACATCCCATTTGCCTCAGAGACACATTTTGCAAACACATTTGATGATTGAACAAGTTTTTGAATCACTTGTAAATCATATGTGACAATGTGTACTGTATTTATGATTCTGTAGTATTGAATCTTTTGTCCTCATACCTGAAATTACTTGAAGTGTGTGCCTCAGTGACATACAGATGACCCCCCTTTATAATATGAGGGAATATAATTCAAGTGCTGGCATATTATTGCTGTTAAAGATGTTGCTATAAACCCCCACTGAGTGGAGCACTGTGAAACTAGAGAACACTAACACCGTATAAAGCACAATGATGTCGGTACTCAATAGTGTTGCTGAGAACCTGATTGAAGCCATCAGTTGGTGAATCAGCAGCATAGAAAAAAACAAGTTAAAGACAAACATGTCAACTTGAATTATTCTCTAGAGGTCCCCTATAATGTTATTTTAGCTGTTTACAACACGCACAAGTTGTCTTTTAGGTAAGGTTTTGAATGGTGATGCACAACTTATCACAAATTAAAGGGACATTCCGGTGTAAAATTAATTTAGGGTCAAAAACACCGTAACATTGAGTATGAGACCCCAGCGAGAGATGAATGTTGCCGACTGCTTGCTTCTCTAGTAATACCAACTTTAGTAATGACCACACGATTGCAATACACAACGGTCCAAGAAGCCACACACAAAGCTCAACCAAAACGCCACAGCACTAGCCACCAAATATCTTTTTAACTTTGTCAAATTTCTTTAACAAAGAGACTAAGCAAAACTCACCTACTCTCTTCCAGCAGCCGCTTGTTTGTAACAAGACCTTGGACCAGTCCATCATTGACTGCAGTGGGCTGATGCAGCACAAGGAAGAACATCTATGATCATGCGTCACCCCGCTGCAGTCCATGATCGACTGGTCTGAGGACTCGCTACAAACAAGCGGCTGCTGGAAGAGAGTAGGTGAGTTGTGTTTAGTCTCTTCGCTAAAGTAATTAGGCAAGGCTAGGACCCTATATGTACTGTTGATGAAGTTAGGTGCTGTTCTGAGCATTATTTGTGGCTACAGAGTGGCGTTTTGGTTGAAGTTTGTGTGTGGCTCCTTAGACCACTGTGTATTGCTATCTTGTGGTCATCACTAAAATAACTAGTGAAGCAAACGGTATACAACATTCATCTCTTGAGGGGGTGTCGAACTCAATGTTACGGTGTGTTTGACCCTAAATTAATTTTACGCCGGAATATCCCTTTAAGTCTGTGTGGAGGATCTGCAGCCTCTCAGTTTGTAACATCAATACCCTTTCGGTGATCTGAGTGGGAGGGGTTGCTATGAGAATGAGATGCTGCACTGATTGGCTGCTTACATGTTCAAACGAAGAGGGTGCAGACAAATGCAGAGGTAGAAAAACACCAAAATAAACATGGCAAGCACCCCAGAAACCCTCTCTTCCACTAGTGCACTACACGTGATCAAGAATTTGACCTCGAACAGCAGGAGGTAGCTGTTAAAGTGTTGCGGCCATAGACAAAACAGTACGTCTCTAAGTGGTGCATTGAAATTTGACAGTTATTTCTATCTTCCTGCCTTTTATGTGTAACTTTGTGTGGTCTGCCTTGCTAGTTGAAGCAGCTGGAAGTGAGGCAGGTGGCACAGGCAGGCAAATTAGCACCATCTAAATCCAGTATGTTTACAAAATTCAAACACAACAATGCTCCTTTATGGTGCTCTTGAAAAAAACACAAAAATCTGTGTTAGTTTTTTTGTAACTAACAAGAAAGTGGTTGATTCATAAACCCCAAAGCAAAACCACAACAGTTTATCAAGAAGCAGAATCACTCACGCAGTGGTAGTCGTTCTGCATGTTAGCCTATGCAAATCATTCCTGTCGTTACATCACCACAGGAGAATATTGTAGTTGCCTTTCGTACGTTTTCCCAGTAGATAAGAAACAGAAACAATGCAGAGGTTTTTTGCGTCCACGTTCTCAGGGTTGCTAGGCTTGAGATGACCCAAGTACTCAAATACAGGCATTAAAAAACATGGTTTTCATTATATGGGACCTTTGAATAAAATCCATGTTTATCCTATTTATCTGAGGCCTTTTAACAATTTAGTTTGGACAGCAAAATAATGCAGTTAAGAGGAAAGTTTCTAAGAGAAGTATGTGGCACTTAGTAATTTCTGGCAATAATAAATATTGATTTTAACAATATTTATTATATGTGTTCCCCATTTCCAAGAATTCTTCCTATTATGCATTCCAAAAATGAATGAGTAAATAAGTAACACCAAAGCACTGGAGTTGAGGTGGTTCCTCTGCTTTGGCTGAGCCTTCATTTTCTTTCCTTTTTTTTTTAATATCCAGAAGTATTTGTCATAATCTGTCAAGGTTATGCTAAATAAATGACGTCCCAAACTTGTGCCCTGGAGAGGACCAAACCCAGATATGTGGCAAAAAGTAAATCCTGTGTCACTTAACATGATGGAGAATAATAAGTGTCTTGTCAATGGAGTGAGTATGAAACACGAAACTGGTGCATGCACCTACTTGACTCCCTGAAAATCTAAAATGACTGCATTTGAATTTGTTAACATGTTTCAATGTTGTTTGGATGTGACTATTAGATTTCTAAGTTTTATGTACTTGAGTGGAGATGAAATTATTAAAAATGATACTGATAAATTCAATAAGTGCCTCATTGTTTTGTTTTTATTTTTGCTTTTTAAATAAATGAAGGTGAATGAGAAATCTATTATGTTTTATGTCCATGTGAAAAATTTGTAGTTGAAATTCCACACATCACCAGAAATGGCACCTCGGTTTCATCACTTCTGCTCTGCTTCCAAACATTTAAAAGAATAGTGAACAATTTTTTAATATTTCAACGCTCTCATTCACAAAGTGATTATTATTTGTTATGGTGCGGGATGATAGCAGTTTAGGGTCAGAGCGTAATGTCATACTGATACACCAACATGTACCTCAAAAGAAACTGTCTTCTCTTTTTCAGGCTTTTAAAATCAAATCAGCAGCTTGAACACATCAAATTTAAACAGCTGATCTAGATTTTGATGAGCAATTTCATAAACAATAACTGTCTCAGGCCATATTTTAAAATGCTCATTCATCCACTTGGTGAAGCGAAGGTGGCCTTCAAAGGTGCAAATTCCTGTGACAAATGTTAGGAGTGACTCCTAATTTGTCAAGTTTTTCTTTGTTTTCTAACTAGTTCATTTCCTGCAGCCACACACTAGATCCAGAAACACAGGAGTAGTTAGTTCACTGTTACTGTAGAAACATGGCGCTGCAAGATAGTAGCCTCTATAGAAGAGGACCTGCTGCGATACAGATATAAAAATCTCATTTTCAGCCAGCAAAATCTAAACAATGTGTTTAAAATATTTATTAATATTTTATTTCATTTCTACAACCTCAGTTTTGCTAAATTCTGCGAATTATTACACTCTGCACCTTTAATGCAAGACAGTCTGGCAGCAAATAGGCAGCCTCACAAGAGTTCATCCCTGACCTTTAGTGTTGGTGTGATTTAACAATCTTATCTTGATGCTGTACTTTAACTTAAAATAAGCTGGTGCACCTGAATATGAACAAATATGATGTTTTTAGACATTAAAATTTAGATATTAAAAAATTCTATGCAGGTTAATCAGGTAAACAGATTTCATGTGTTTCTTTACGGCTTCTTGTATTGTACCAGAACCGATAACAGTCTAAGGGTTCGCTGCATTTGAGGCCAGTATATCTGTGTTTCCACCCGTGAGTCCATGTAAAAAACACTTATTTAGCTACTACAGCAGCTTTCATGAAGTTTGGCTCCAAGCCCTCTGCCTCTTCATCCCGTCATGTCGGGGATGATAAAATATTTTCACTATCTTCTTCTCATTGTGGCAAGAACATGCTGATTACAGGCTGGATTTATGGGGCTCTGAGGCCGTACTACCCCCTTCTTTGGCCAGTCCTCTGCTGGAACTGTGGTGGAAGTAGAGAGTGAGATGGGGAGGAGGAGAGGAGGAATCTGGAATATAGAAACGTACATGTTGTGAATACAGAGAAACTCAAAATGTATGAAGGAAACAAATATTGTCATAGTTTCAGTTAAACTGTTATTTCAAATCAGTGATATTTTTGTTTTAGATGCTGAATGAGGAAATAGCTTTGATACTGGTGGAGGTTGACCTTTAACTTGAATACCTTTTTTGATCAAACTGTATGGCTTCTCCTGTCCTTCTTTAACCTTTCCTTTAGGAGACACAACAGCTCCAAATAAGTCATCACTACACGCAAGAAAACACCCCCTACCCCCTCCTGGACAGATTTATGGAGCTAGCCTTGAACATCGTGGAGCTGAGCCCATCTAGTTTGAGGGGGAGATGATTTCACTTAGACTGGGCCCTCATCTGTTGGAGGTTTCTCTATCCGCCCTTTAGACATATCTACATTACTTATTTTAATAGATTTCAGTACTGAGCATTTACAGAGTGCTCACACAGCAGCAGTGTAGGATACTTTATGAATTATGAGTTGATTTAGAGAAACTGTGAAAACAGGAGGATACTGGAAATGTATTTTTACTTTTATCTCAAGGTGCTGTCCAGCCTCAACAGTGAGCTTTTAACTCTTTCACTTCATTTGTTACTTTCTTAAAATTTAACAGAGTACAAAACAATCCTTTGTTACATCTAGGCTGTGCAGCAAAAGTTTTTTAAGGTATCTTGACTTATTTTGCATTGGCATTTAAATGTAAAACTCCAAAAATTGCTCCAGCAAACCAGGCCAGCAAATGTAAAAGTGTCTGTAAGTGTCAACACTGTCAGTAAGTCAGTCTCAATGAAGTGATTTCAAACATTTAGACCCTGAAAAGCCAACATTTACCTTATGTCTGTGAAAATGGAAAACTCTGGGTGGTTTAAAGGAAGCAGGAGAAGACTAGAAGGATAAATAAAAGAATATCGCAAGTCAGCTTTGGCAGGTCATTGAACGGATGGACCAAATTAGAAATCTAAAAGTATCTCAATTCTATCTTCAATTCCTACCCTTTCAACAAGTAGATTGAATTCATGTTTCATAATAAAATGGTTGGTGTGAAAAAGCTATGGCAGCCATGATGGCCTCCCAAGAAGCTTCAACTTGCTGTTAGTGTTTAGATAATGATACAAGTGATAACTCCAGCTTTTGTTAACAAAATCAATGTTGCACAATAAAACCAGGCGGTATTTTAATGGGCCTTGAACTATGTTTAACCATTTTGTTGGGATTATTATCAATCCTACAGGGTCATTAATGGGCAATTTACCATTCTGCTGTGAAAGGTGTGAACGTGTTTACAGTGTAAAACCTTGGCATAGATTCAGTGAGGTCACCCACTGGTTTCTAGAGAAGCTCAATGAAGCCCAAACGTAATGTTTGAAATGCCAACTCCAAATAGCTTCTATCTACGAAAGAGGTGGATTTGAGTTTGTCCCACTTACAATTTTTTTGGCTGACAGGTTCAACACCCCCACCTGTCTTTCAACACATCCCAGTTAGGTCCTTCAATCTGATTAACCCTAGAACAATATCGCCAAGTGATATTCACCCGACTGAACATGTTTACGTGATTTTCATTATGTTGTGTTTGTCTGAGTATCATGGGTCCCTGTGTAGCTTCAGCATTGCTTTTGACATCTTTGAAGGCATATTTGTTTCCCTGATCCAAAACCTGCTTTTTCTTACAGACACCTGTTCAGGTGATTTTCACTCAACAATAGTGATAGAGGGTAAAGTAGGTTTGGGTGGATTCTTTAGCTGCATGTCGGCGAATAAAGTAAGTAAGAGTGGTCCTGGAGTTTTCATGCTATCTCTATTTAGCGCAGTGATTATGAATAACTATCACAAAGTAGTGATTTTCAAGGGAATTCATATGGTGATAAGAAATATTTCAGTCAGCTGATCATTTTTACTCACTCAAAATCTGCCATATTTTGGTTCTCTCTCCTGAAGCTGTTATTATGCCAAGGACCCTGAATCTTCACCAGGGAAGACTCACATACTCCAGGAATGGATGGAAAAGAAACTAAGTTCACAGTTAAAAATAAAAGAAAACTACTTTAATTTGTCATGTATTGTCCTATTATTTCAGGTAAAAATCATCCGGCCATAGTGTTGGTGTTACTAATTTTAGTGATAGTGTTCTAGGGTTAAGAACAGATGAGATAGTATATGTCATCTCTTCTTACAAGTTTCCTGATATTTTTCCTCATTATTAAGAAAAAATGTCAAGTAAAGCTTGAACAAAATACAGGGATGTAAGCAATGCCTAAAGCGTCCACTCAAATGTCCAAAACAAAAAAAAAAAAGGTTTTTCAGTGTCACTTTAATCAAAATCATCAATCTTAGCTGGCATAACAGTATGGCATAAAGGAGGTACTTTAAATAGAGGACATTATCAGGTTTTTTGCCTCTGATGTGTACATCAAATTTTAAGTGGACAAAAATCTCATACACACACAGAAACACGTGTTGTTATTGCAGATGTTTTACTCAGAGTCAAGGTTACATTCTGTGGCAGAGTCGTAATGAGAACTAAGTGGTCATTACTGTGGAGATACAAAGTGATCACACAGCAGCTGTGTTCCCAAAACAATCCCTCCCTCACTGCCCATCTGTCCATCCATCCTGCCACTCCTACACACACTAACACACATCAACACACACGTACACATATGTCTACACACATATACTGACTTTAAGCAGGACCATGAACGTCCAAATCAAAGGATACGACTCCAGAGTGGATCGATTTCAGTGCTGCAGGATATAAAAGTCATAAAACACTTTATTTTAGAGTTTATTTTTACAGACATGATGGCAGTATCACTCCAAGATCTGTATTAAAACATTACTTTCATTACCCAATTCATGATGTTATAATTGTTTTCAATTAAACTCAAACAGACAGGCATTAATACCGTTTACTATTGTAGAAGAGCACACGCTTGAACACAGTGAAAGACATGTTTGTTAAATACCACTAAAACACTGTACAACATTTAAATCATGATAAGAAGTTACAGACTGTTCCCGCATGTAGTGATTTGTGATGTTATTAATCATGTGCAGCGGTCTTTTTATTTCCTTGTATTAACGCTGTCCTGGCAACCTCAAGTCTAACTCTCAGATAATGAATGAATGAATAGCTGTGTGTTTGCACAAGGAGCTTTTATTCTATACTGGCAGGGAAAGGTATAGACAGAGAATGAGGCCCTATGATTTTCTGATCAAATCAGACAGGTGAACAGTTTATTGATCCAATAGTCAATCAGCATCTTGGTTTTTCAAATATACCCACTAATCCTCAAGATGGACGGTGGTGATTTGACCTTTGACCACTGGTTAATTTGGGCTCTGTCTTTCATCATTACTTCAAAAAATGATAACAATTTTAAAAGATATATTTATCTGAGGTGATGAAATGAGATGTTTGACGATTTTTACTTCTCTTAAAGGCATTGTGGGGAGTTTTCAGTTGAATTTGAGACAGTGTTGTTCACGCTCATGCCTCACAATAACATACCAAGTAAAATAAGATCGCTCACAAGACGAGTGTTTATTTCTTTATTTTAAGTTTTTCAAGCCAAATTGATATTTAGCTCTTTCAAAACTGGCAGTGAGGAGGAGTTAGTTTCTTTCTTCTTATGGCTGATCTTAGATTTGGCTTGGCTGAAAGTCATGTGTTTTCCATCAGTTTTTCTTATTTTTTTGTTTGTTTGTTTGTTTTTGTCTTGATGGAGACACTCTTCAGCTTGGGCTTTGCTAGCTATACATGCCAAATTTATTTTCAAACTAAGATAGCGTTGAAGAAAGTACATGTAGCCCTTTAATGCCTGACACCACAAATTACGGCCAGAAAATTCAACATTTTTTGGAGCTGAAATGTTTATTTCACTTACTACTGAAACCTAAAAATTACACAAATATATTTATTTATCTCGTTTGATACATTACATGTTTTTGGAGACTGATAAACTACAAGAGGACATTTTTCTCATTTATCAGACTGTATTCAGGTGTTTTTATAGTAACTTGTTGATCACATTGATTTGATAGAAGTATATAAAAGTATGTATCAAATATGATACAAAAGGCATTAAAGGGTTAATACGTTTAATTTAGAAAGCAGTTTACATTTAAAGCAAATCTCAAAGCGCTAAAAGGAGATCTGTGCTCGTTTTTATCTCAGAAATACACAATTTTTTTCTCTTTAACACTTTAAATCACTTTGTTTTTCATTGTTGATCATTGTCTCCTGGTCAGTTCTGACTTTTGTCGTGTGTCCTTCTCCAAGTATGGTGCTGCAGCAGATTGATATCGAAATTGACATTAAGAGATCAGAATAAGGATTATGTTCCAAGTTCAACCATCACTCTTTGGTTTCCTCTATGGCTGAGGTCTGTGGGTATGTCTCCTTCTGTCCAGGTGGTGGCGTCTGATTGGTCGGGATATTTGTAAGAAGATTTCCCACACTGCCGCAGTAGAGTAAGGAACGCATGGGCCACTTCTGAGGAGAGAGACAGAACAATATATGAGTTTCTTTTGACATTTTAAAGCTACAGTATTAGTCAAAATCATAGACTGGACAACGTGGCTCCACCTCCCGTCATTGTACAAATCTGAAGCCAAATTGCTCTCGGTATTTTGGATAAAATTTCATAAAATTTTCAGCCAAGTTAACAAACTGTAAAATGATTTGATACAATCATATATACATTTGTGTTCTGGGCCGCCATTAGAGGGCGCTGTAATGCACCAAACACTAACATACCTCTCAGAAACTGTGCTGTTAGTAAAGGGAAGTAAACAGAAATAATTCACTACAGTTATATGAAGGGAAAGTCCCACATATTTGACCTTTCAGGAACTACTTTGAAATGTCTCGAGTCAAACCAGGTCTTTCTTCCTCCAAATGCACAACAGAAATTTATCTCTGGATCTTTTTTGGATCAGCAGAAATGAACAATCACTCTTTCGGCTATTTGCATATCTCCAGTGCTGATATTTAAGATGTTCCTCATACTAACAGCCAACCGTAGACTTTTCTTCCTGCTTCTTCTGAGAAACAGTGCATGTAAAAAAAACAAAAAAAACAGTGAATCGCAGGGTCTTTTATCTTACTTTGACTGGATGTAGATATCCACCTGTCCTGGCAGACAGGGTCTGATCAGCCAGTGCCCCTCCCTGGTCCAGGGTCTCTGTCAGGTGTGCTATGTAGTTAGTGGCCAGAACCAGAACATCCAGCTTGGACAGTTTGGTGTCTGGCGGTACTGAGGGCAGAGCGGCCTGCGGGAAGTGAACAAATTCAGATCAAGACATTTGAAGCATTACACAACTCATAACATATTCAAATAAATAAAATGTTCTGTTGTTTCAGGCTTTTTCATGTCTTTATTTAGCAAAAATGATGTTCCAGAGAAAAGGTTCAAACCACTCCAGTTTCTGTTTTGCATTAAACCCACAAAAGGGCAAACTATTAAAACCCTCAACTGGGGCAACAATAGGCAGCGGACGTGTTGCAATACACCAGTGTCCACACCCTTAAGAGAGCCCATAGAGATCATCTGTAATTCCATTTATTTGTTTATTTTAGTTGCATCTTAATTTCTTAAAGAAAATAATCAACCAGTTTTCTGCATGGCTTTTAGCTCGATGGAATTAAAGATGCGCCATAAAAAGAGAAGTGGAAAAGACAACAGGATAGGTGTCAGTCGTACAGATTAGGGTGTGTCACATCATGGGGGAGGATTGATTCAGCAGATACACAAAACTGTCATCACAGCTCAGCTGAGCCAGAAACAATAATGTCACACGAGGTACAGATTAATATCAATGACTAAAACGTTTCCTGCGTTGGGTAATGCCCACGTTTTGTTATTCTGATCAAATCTGGCAGCTGTCCCATCAATGGTAGAAGTTTAAGTCTGTAGGGAACTGTATCAGGGGCTGTCATCAGTTAAGTACAGGCACATAAAAGGGTCTGCTCTTCTCTGTTGGCCGTGTGTTTTATGCTTGTCAGTAAACGGTGCAGTAACCTGTTGTCTTAAGCTGTTTCACATGTTCAGAGGCAGAATTATAACTCCAACTGCAACCACTTATCACTCTTTTATAATTATGTTTATTTCTATATTAAAAAATTGAATTTTTTTTTTAACTAATGGATGAAAAATGAGCTTTAAAATGTTCTTTACAATCCACTTACATACAACACATTTGTGTTTGCACCGAGAGTACGCCATCACCCCAACACCCACATACACACAGGCACAAGTAAGCCTGCAGCTTTGCAAGCTCTGCAAGTTTTATCTAAATAGAGCAGACCATGAGTGCTCCAAATGTGCTGTACTCTTAAAAACATGGCTGCTTTATCTCTACATCAACCTTATGCCCTCATCAGTAATCCTGATGTATATAAATTCATGACAGAAATCCAGAGCATCTTTAAACAGGAAACTTCGTCTTGCTCTCACTCTCTCTGCAGCCCAGTTATGTTGTGAAGTCTTCACCATTATTAGTGAAGACGGGATTCATGTGACCTATGACACTTTTATACAAAGAGCCTTATAGAAGCGCTTTTTATTGAACAAATGAATAGTAATTTTTTCAATCATATATCCAGTTTTTATTATTCTTGAACAAGCTTGCTTAAGATAGAGTCAGAAACAAAAAAGAGAGTTAGATCAAATCATAAATATGCTTACAAGATCTGCCAAATCTTAAAAATCAATGCCACTACACTGTTCGAGTATGTTAATATGCAATAAATCTCATTTAATTTTCTTTTAGTTATATTTTTTTATGTTTTTCTACCCCCAAAAACAGCAGAGTTAAATAATGAATATATTCTAAGTGTACCTGCAGGCTGTGGAAGGCCTGTCGCAGGTTGCGTATGCGGCTTCTCTCTCGCGCTGCGTTTTCTGGTGAGTGTTGACCCCTCAGTGTCCCGGACCGCATTAGATGATTACAACCAGCCCCACATTTTGGTCTGGACCCACACACAGTGTGCACCTGCAGAAGGGAACATGTTAAAAGTGAGAAACTTTGTATGATCTACAGATGATTTAGCTTTTTCATCCTCTACTAAAAGACATCTTTACAGTCTAACAATCTGAATGTCAGTCTGCAGTTTATGCAGAGTGTCCTTTCTTCATATTCAATTTTGGCAAATATATTTTATGTTGAATTATTAGTATGTTCAAATTGTGATTTAAGCTATGACAAGCCACAAGTTTATATGGAATGAATCAACTCTACAGGCAAATTTCATAGATTTATTTGACTCTCGGTCCAAGAAACTGGACTTTTTGTTTAGACTTACCCACTTCTTCTGTTTGAAGCTGCTACATGCGCCCCTCTTGTGCCCGTCCAGGTCTGCAGGGACTTTGGCTGCACAGTGCTGCTGCCTCTGTAGGTGAGCTGTAGAACTGGAGACCAGCTGGTGGTTTGTAGCCACCGACAAGAGACCCTCCAGAGGATTTAACGCCATTGGTGCTGTGAAAACAGTTTTGAAGTGTCTCCTCACGATTGCTATCCTAATTCACTTTTGTTCAGTCGCTTTAAAATAGTTTTCTTGCGGTGAGGATTGCACCCAAAGTATCATCCTGTAAGGGGTTTAAACGCCAAAGAACATAAAATCTGAGCTCATCCTTTCATCTTATCTGTAAGCATCTTGATTCTGATCCAAAAACACTGGATTGCTCTGATCAAGAATCTCCAAGTGTCTTTCTAGAGTCCTCCTGGTTCCTTCAGCGGTCTGTGAAACCACACAAGCACTGGCTGCCTCTCTGCGCATCACCATCTAGTCAGAGAATCCTCTAGGTCTGGCCTTCTCTTTCTATCTCTCTCTCTCTTTCACTCTCTTATAGCATCTCTCCGCTTGTTTCCTTATCGGGTGAGGTAATGTGGAGAACTTCATGAGGTCTTTATCTCAGCCGCCTGGTCATCCTGATCCTCCCCTTGGCTGTACGGCTGCCAAGAAGTCTAGGCAGGCAGTCAGGCCCGAGGGAGTGCAGCACTGGGAGGGTGTCCCAAGCCAGGGCACTGGGGGGCTTGGGAAACTCAAAACTCTGCTAACAAATGGACAAGGGTGGGATTGGGAGCTCAGGGCACTGCGACATTGAACGTTGCCAAAGAGAGGCGGAAGTGCATTCTAATTCTGTGATATTCTCTATAACCACATTTATGAGTGGTGCTGTTATCAGGACTGTTATGGTGTTTTTATTATTGGCTATCCGTGTCTTTTAGAGTAGATTTTAAGGTTCTTTTATTGGTTTTTAAAGCTCTTAATGGTCTCGGTCCTTCTTATTAATCTGATTTGCTTTTACCGTATGAGCCTAGTAGAGCCCTCAGGTCTTCAGGTAGTGGTAAAACATTTGGTGAATCATCATTCCAACATTACAGTCCCCATCTGTGGAACAGCCTACCTGCAGACCTGAGAGCGACACCTACTGTTCATATTTTTAAAAGTAAACTCAAGACCTACATTTTTAGTCTGGATTTTAGTTGAATTTTGTTTTAATCTTTTAAGCTGCATTATTTACGCTATTTTAGTCCTAGAGTTATTATTTTTGTTTTATTACCTCTTTTTAAAAATTTACTCTCTTTTATTGTTTGATTTTAAGACTGTTTTATTTAATCAACTTTTAACGCTTTATCACCTTTATTATATTTTATCATGGTTTTATCTTTTTAGTCCTAGATCCAGTGTTTCCTCATCTTTTTAACTAAAGATAGCGTTTCCTCAGTCATCTGTAGCAGGTTGAAGAGTGGATCTGTGCACTCGTGTGTGTGTGAGCATGTGAGCGTGTGAGTACTGTATGTGTTGAATAGGGGTCGAAAGGGTAGGTGCGGTTTGGTATTTGTATTTTTATCCATTTTATTTCATTATTTTTTTATATCCTGCGCAAATGGACAGCATTTTGTGCTACATTCCGTGTATGTAAAGTGCTTTTAAAAACAAAGTTTGATTGATTGATTTGATTGATTGGTGTCCACTTCTACACAAACTAGGATCAATAGTTTGTCAACGTCATTGTCAACGAAAACAACACTACAGAATATTTGTTTGGCGTTTGACTGATGAAATGCTCATGAATTTCGCAACAACTGTTCTAGTCTCATCTCGTCAACGTAAACGCACGTTCGTCTCGACAGATTTTAGTCATCTAGCTTGTCAGCATCACATCTTCATCGTTGAAAAAAAGGGGCGTTGAAGAAATATTGTCGTCAAAAAAAACAACACTGGTATAGGCATATATCTTTTTTTTTTTTCCTGCCTAATTTCCTGTGCCACACTCCAATCCAGTAGGTGGCGGTAATGCTCCTTAAGTTGGTTGCCAACCGCCAATAAAATAAAGAAGAATAAGAAGTAATTGAGTGCCACAGGTGACCAATCAGTGAACAAGTGGAGAGTATTTAAACTGTGACTCCTCCCCCTGCTTCTCTCTTTGTGCTGCTGCTGGATGTTGGGCTGCCACAGGTATGTCTCCATTGTTTTATTTGCTGTCTTTGTGGTCTGTCAGCTCCATGTTCATAGCTTGTTTTGTGCTTCAGAACAACTGTTGTGCCTCTGGCGTGTGTGTGGTGAGTTTGTCTCTCTCTTTCACTTGCTGTGCTATTGTGATGCTAATCGTTGCTAATGCTAATGTGGTCGCAGGTGAGATGCAGATAGCTGCTTGGGTCTCTCTCTCTCTCTCCCTCCCCTCGGGTTTGTGTGTGTTTGTGTGCCTGCTGCTGTAGAAGAGTATGGCTATCAATGTAGGTCACAACCACAGCATTATAGTTTTTGTTATTGATACAATTTCTAAAAGGTAAGGTTGGACTAAATGATGGTCCGTCATCTGCTGTTTCTCCTGCTCTGCTTGCTGCTTTGTCATACCTCCATTTATCCCAATGACTTATCCCCCATTGCATACTTTCACACTCAGTACCTACTGCATCACTTGTGCACTTTGTAAATATTTTTTATATGTTTATATATTTTTGTATCCTTATATTATTGTATTCTTCCAAGTACTTGTAGCGTGTTTTATCTGTACTTGTTTGAGTCAAGCGGTCCTTGTCATCCAGGGCATTTCATTGCGTTGTTGACTTTGGTTTATTTGTCATTTGCAGGTTAAACAATCTTGAATCTGCTTTGTCTCCCATTTGCTCCCTTTGGCTTCCCTGCTGCCTTTGCTCGGGCCCTTACAGTGCTTATCAGGCCTGCTGTTAGCTGTCTGTCTCCTTCCTGGAAAACTTCTATTGGTTGCATTTGTGTTTTAAAGGTGTGATTGAGCGGTGAGGATATTTGTCCTTTTTGTTTGGGTTGATTTGTTAGAGTTGGACTTCATTTTGTTTTGGGCTATTGTTTATAGGTGTATTCTTTTTGTTTGATTTATTTGGGTTTAGTGAACTTCCTACTCCTTTTTTAGCTTCCTGTTTGGTTTTTGGTAGTTTGTGGGTTTTATTTTGGGTTTGCAGGTAGTTTTTGTTTTGAAAATTTTATTTGAACAGTTAATTTATGTAAACCATAGGTTTTTTTTAAAATTTTTTTTTTTTTTTTTTGTGTGTTTTGCTTGTGTTGCTTTATTATCTTGACCCCACCACTAATTGTTTTATTTCTCTTTCAGTTGCTGAGGGCCAGTGGTGGTGCTGGTGATATGCAGCTTTAGGTGGTTTCTTCCCCCTTTGTGTCCTGTGTCTCCCTGAGCGGATTTCTCCCCCCTCCTTCACTAGCCCCCTATCCATCAGGTAAGCCTCAGCACCTGTTTGTTTTTCCCCTGCCCTCCTGTGCGAGTGTCTTTAAAAACTGTTTTAAAATTTGATTTCAATAAAGTGTTCATTTTTACAACTGGAACCACGTCTCTGGCCTCCTGAGTGTTACAAACCTTTGTTCTTTTGTTGGGAAGTAAAGGAAATAATTCTGTGGGTGAAATTCCCAGGGTGGCGCTGTCTGGCAAATGGAAAACAAAATGACATTTGGTCTGACTACAAACCGATCAGTTAATGCCAGATGTGCATGGGTGCAACCTAACCAAATGTGTAAATCTTTAAGGTGAGACACGAAACCTCGGTTTCACATTAGGATCCCACTCACACTGTCCGGATTGTATCCTGCATGACCACCTGCTCACTCTACAGTTTCTTGTACTGGTTCAATCAGACCTTACTGAGTGATTCAGTGCTTTCTGCTATTCACTGCATTTCTACAAGAATATTTAAATTACAATATATTTCAAGGGCTAGCTCGAAATTGAGTGCCTCTGAAATCGCAAAGCAAAAACAATGGGCTCTCTGCACCGAGCCTCTACTTCCTGAACTTAAGGCAGCTGCTTTTATTTCTGTCTTACATATTTGGACAAACTGATTAATCCAGGTGTGTCTGAGTAGTCACAATATTCAGTCACACCTGGGTTAAACAGTTTGTCCATTAATGTGAGACAGGAAATAAAGGAGCTGCCTTAAGTGCAGGAAGTAGTGGAGCTGTGCACAGAGCCCATAAAACATACAACTGTTGTGTCACAGCCTGCAGTCATTTCATACAGAGACTGCACAACCTACTCTGACTTCTTGTGAAACACAAATTTGCTGCTTCTTGCAAGATCTTACGAAAAATAGACGTTTTTTATACAATGATTCACATATGAATGAGCTTTTGCTCCAGAAATAGTTACCCAAAACATTTCAGACACACATGGTATATGAATTAAGAGCTTTTATTATCAAAAATGGAAAAAACAAGAAAAATTGTATTCATAGTTATTGTCCTGCATGAGACAGACATATTATCCCATTATGAATTTTAACTTTCTCAATGTAAACTTTTGATTCCTGGCATTTAAAGGGGAGTTGAGCTCAAAATCTTTACTATTCTGTAAAAGAAAATCTATTCCATGTTAGTGTTTCTGTCTTATTCTTATATTTTTTGCCACATTTACCAGATATCATTTTTTAATCAGTACAGGCAATTCAGCGTATATTCTGGACTTATCAGGTGAATTTAATTTAGCAAAATAGACTCTCTTCTACAGATAAGACAAAAACACTAAAAATCATGTTTTGCAGTGTATAAAAACATCGACAGATATTTCTTTTTCAGTTCTGATCTCGGGTGAAGTGTGTTGCTTTACTCATTCAGATCACAAACAGTGTTTTACTAAATTTTCATACAGAAACATTCAGCCTAGTTTTGTAATTTTGTCTTGGTTAAATCCCCTCTCAATATCTTCCCAGAAACGATCATCCTGAAAGCCGACCTGAACCAGCTGTAAAAGAAAGCATATATGAACGGATTCAGCATAGAGTTTGAAAGTGTCAGCCAGTTCAGGGTTTCAATAACAGGAACTGGAGCTGCGTTGCTTAAAGAAGGAAAGGTGATGCAGAGAAAAAAAGGAGTCCAACATAAGAGGAAAACTCCCAAAACAATAGCCAGAGTTTTGGTGGCTTTTCTCTCCATCTTACTGACTGTAGCTCCTGACTTTGTGCTCTGACAGGCTATGTTCATGATTTTGCGAGCCTGTCTCTGCGCAACGAGGAAAATCTTCAGGTAGATACAAAGCATTATGATCACTGGGAAGTAAAATGATAGAATCGGTCCGATTGTGTTTTCCATGAGCTTGTCAATAAAACACAAATCATCACATTTCTCATTAAGTCCAGCAATTAAGATACCAATACCAATCAGAGCAGAACCCCCCCAGCTCATCAGAATCATGAGCACAGCTACACGATGGCTGATTTTAGCTTTATACGACAGAGGCTGACACACTGCGTAATACCTGTCGATGGAAATACAACACAGGTTCAGAATTGAACACGTGCTCAGCGACACGTCAAAACTGCTTCGTATTTTGCAAAACAAATCCTCGTGGTGCATACAGGAGCTGAGAGAAAACGCCATGCTGAGAGGAAAAACTACAATCCCAACGAGCATGTCGGCCACAGACAGAGAGAGGATGAGGAAGTTTGTCGGACTGTGCAGCTGAGTGAAGTAAATGATGGCGATTATAACGAGGAGGTTCCCAAATACGGTGACAACGGACAACAAGAAGATGAAAATATACAACACAAAGCAGACAACAGAAGGAGTGTTGGACAGAATGTAATCAAAATCATGTATTTCATAGCAAGGATGTATATTAATCACAAAAGCACTCCTGTTTTCAGAGATATTTGGCCCCATGGTTGTAGGATCCCTGTATTCAATAAGATTCAAACAAAATATTACAATATTAGCAGTTCAGAGATGAACCATCAACAACTCTGACTAAATTTAATCTGTTTGTTTCATGTATCAAACCTCTTTGGCTCTCAGTGTTGTCCATGCAGTGGTGCATGAACAGATGTCCCTGGTCTAATGCACCACGATGCAGAATCTTTATACCTACTAACTCCTCCCTTTTTATCTCTCTGATTGTCTCCTCATCATGTTTGCTTTAGGTGCAAAAAAAAAACAATAGCAAACATGATCAATTTAACACAATGGCAAAGCTTCATGTGCAAATTACCTGGTTTCCTATCAATCTAGACGAATTTAAGGGTCAAAACTTGATGTGATGCTGTTTTTTATCTTTTATCTTTTATCTGTCATCTCTTATCTCTTTTACCTCCATCTTATTTCAGCTTTACTATCTTTTTAGCTTTTGTTATACTTGTACTCTTTTCCTAATCAACCTTTTAGGCCTTTCATTGTTTTATCTCTTGCTCATTTCTGTTGCTCTATTTGATCATTACTTTTATTATCAGGAGTGCCTGTTACCTTTTATATCATCTATCCTGTTTCCGCTTTCATCCTCCTTTTTAATTGCATTTTTCCTTTTTTCTGAACTATTTTATGTATCTATTTTGATCCTCATGGTCTCGTTTTATGGTTCTTGTATTCTCTGGGCTCCTTATGACATGAAAATGGCCTTCAATTCCATTTTTACTGAGCTTTTTGTTTTTGTCTTATCTCCATGTGCTGTACGACTACATGTCAAAGCACTTTGTAAACATCTGTTTTTTTAAAAGTTACAGATAAAGTTATTATCATTATTACTAAAACTTGACAAACTGAGCATCATAACCGTTTAGAGCCACAGTTGAAAACATGTTTCACTTGATGGCAAAGAAAGAAGCACACAGTGTTTTCAGTCACAGCAAATAACCCAAATTATTGGATAGAAGTCCCATCTATGATCAGACTAATAGCTGATCACAGTTTAGGATTTTAAGGTGTATAATAAAACTTCAGGGAGGGAGGGGACTCCTCTGTATGGAGATGGGCCACTCCTTGATAAACCCTTAAAAGGTAAGAAATTTCTTGATTTCAAAGACACTCTTATTTAGAGAAAGGTAAACCATAAAACCTCTCACTGATTGATTCTTATTCATTCTTAGTTTGTGTGTGATGACTTAAAAAAGACCTTTTTTCTACCATAAATAAAACAAGCACACTCACTAAAATCTAAGTTCTTGCAGTGTGTGTGTGTGTGTCAGCCAGATATGCATGTTCAGACTAGACCACAAGTTTGTAGTCTACATTTGTAATATGTGTTTTAAAAAGTCCTATTTGTCAACATAAAAATGCTCAATAATTTGTGCAGTTTTTATACAAGGGTGTTTTTGTCTTCTTCAGTGAAAGTTTAATAGAAACCTTGATTTCTAACTCACAGAGTTTTAGACTTTTTGAATCTGAATTTTCACATTTTGACCTGAAATCATCTTGTGATCACTATCAACAATCAATAATTTGTTAATTTTATTTATTTTCACCACATTTTTACTGCATTTTAATGTTTTTTTTTTACCTTACTTAGAGCTCATTTAGTATTCACCCTAAACTTGTCTGACTCTCTGCATAACAAAAACTTTTTCATTTGCATGAGTTGGTAGAAAAACTCACAAAGGTTGAGCTGTACCATGTAAAAGAGCAGAGTTGGTTCATCAGAATCAAAGAACTATCAAAAAAGTGAAAAAGTGTTGGATTGTTTTTTTTCCAACTGACCACAATGATTGTCTGGAGCTGTGAACATTTTTCATATCTTTGACTTGAAAGATTTATGAGACTAAAGTGTTACCAAGTGTGTAAGGATCAGATTTATAACCATGGAAACCAATGATTAAGTTCCAAAGAACTTTATTCATGCTATTTACATATTTACAACAGAACACAGAAAGAGTAAGGGTAGAAGGGAAGGAAAGAAGGTGGAAAGGTGGGTATGAAGCTGGGAAGGTGGATAGGAGGGTGGATGGGTATGAAGGTGGATAGGGGGGTATGAAGGTGGGTGGGTAGGAAGATGGGTAGGTAGGTATGAAGGTGGGTATGAAGGTAGGTGGTAGGATGGTAGGTGGTAGGAAGGTGGGTAGGATGGTAGGTGGATAGGAAGGTGGGTAGGATGGTAGGTGGTAGGAAGGTGGGTAGGATGGTAGGTGGATAGGAAGGTGGGTAGCAGGATGGGTGGATAGGAAGGTAGGTGGGTAGGAAGGTGGATAGGAGGGTATAGTAGGGTTAAAGGATGGAGGGAAGGGGGATGAAGGGGGTTGCACGGTACAAGGACAGTTATTGTTTTTTCTGTCCTCTTCTCTTCCTCTTCTTCTTCTTGTCGTGTTTTTCTTTGCTCAATATCTCTCCTTCACTCAGTTTCTCCTCCTCATCCTTTTTTGACCCCTTCTCTTCAGGGGACTTCTTCTCCTCCTGCTCCTCTTTCTTTTTCTCTTTCTCCTCCTCTTTTCTCTCTCTCTCCTCCTCTTCATTTAACATGTTCTTCACCTCCTTCTCTTGTTTACTCCTCTCCTGCTCCTCCTCTTGTTTTGCCTCCTCCTCCTCGTTTTTCTCCTCCTTCTTCTCCTTCTCCTCCTCTTGTTTATTCTCCTCTTTCTTCTCCATCTCCTCTTCTTGTTTTGTCTCCTCCTCTTTTTTCTCCTTCTTCTCGTCTTGTTTTGCCTCCTCCTCCTCCTCTTTTGTATTCTCCTCCTCCTCTCTGTTCTCCTCTTTCTTCTCCATCTCCTTCTTGTTTTGTCTTCTCCTCTTTTTTCTCCTTCTTTTGTCTTGTTTTGCCTCCTCCTCCTCTTTTTTCTCCTCCTTCTTCTCCTCTTGTTTATTCTCCTCCTCCTCTCTTTTCTCCTTCTCCTCCTCTTGTTTTGTCTCCTCCTCTTTTTTCTCCTTCCTCTCCTCTTGTTTATTCTCCTCCTCCTCTTTTTTCTCCTTCTCCTCCTCTTGTTTATTCTCCTCCTCCTCTCTTTTCTCCTTCTCCTCCTCTTGTTTATTCTCCTCCTCCTCTCTTTTCTCCTCTTTCTTCTCCATCTCCTCTTCTTGTTCTCCCTCCTCCAGCTGATGTTGAGCTGTGTTTTCGAGGTGGTGTATCTGAGAAGAGAGCTGAGAAAGAAACTGTGTGTTAGATCATGCAGTAAAAGTTGAAGTTCTTTTCTACAGAATCTGAGATTATTTGGATCTATAGTTACTGTCATATATCTGAGCTCTGAAGTACCTGCAGGTTGCTGGTCTGCTCATTGAGACTCTTCTGCAGCTCATTGCACTTGAGTCTCCAGTGCTCCTCGGTCCTCTTCAGCTCCAAGTCCCTCCTGTTGAGCAGGTCCAAAGTATCTAGGTAGGCCTTTGTTCTTTTGCGCCTTTTTTTGATGGCCCTACCCAGGAGCTCTTTTGTTGACTTGAGCTCCTCTTGGAGCCTGCCCACCTCCAGCTTTTCATCGGCTTGGTTGTCATGGACCTTCTCCTTCATCTCACAAGCCCTGGCGATTTCCAGCTCCTTCTTCACAGCACTTTCCAGGAGGCTGTCTTTGAGCTGGAGCTCCTCTTTTAGGCGCTTAACCTCCTCCTCTTTTACAGCCAGCAGGTCTGAGGTGATTATATAGGCCCTGGTCATCTCCAGCTCTTTTTGAGCAGCTTTCAGGAGAAGATCATCTTTTATCTTCAGCTCCTCTTGGAGCTGGGTCACATTCGGAAATCTACTGTCCATTGCAGCACAGAGACAATGAAAACGAAACTGTAAAAGATCTTCAACAAACTTCGTTGACAGGCAAAAAGATCTGCTCAGGAAATCCACAAACTTGAAACTGTGTGATAGTTTCAGAGGTTTGGCAAAGGTTAATTCGTATACTTGCTGTTGTCGTATCAATACTCTGCTCTGATGACACGATGAGATGCTGCTCGGTCAAGTGCTTGCCTCGCAATGATCTTCTACAGAATTAAGGTGCCTTATGTTTACTCTAGAGGTTTCCATGGAAATGTTCCATCTGATTTGAATTTTAAATAACAACAGCATCTTTTCAAAATATCATCATGTTTTGATCAAAAACACACTTTTGAGTGATAACTTATGGCCCAGTGAAGGTAGCCTGGCTGGGCCATCCTGTTGCGTGAATCACTTGACGTTCCTACCCACAACAGTCTGGACTTCGGCCCATTGGAAGCCCTGAAAGTGGGTGGGAGTACTTTCCTTGATAGACAGACTACTGTAACCAATCACCGTAACCAAGCATCTGACATCATCACAGATGCTTGGTTACGGTGATTGGTTACAGTAGTACATGGACCAATCAGGGGCTGCCTTTCCCTGTTGTCCGGGTAACAGTGGAAACACGGTCTCTGATTGGCCTGGTTATTTTCTGATCGGGAATGCACGCTCTCTATGCGCCGAAGTCCAGACTGTTGTGGGAAGAAACATCAAGTGATTCACGCAACAGGATGGCCCAGCCAGGCTACAGTGAAGGGTGGTTATGCAAGTTAGACCCAGACTTGATGAGACAAGACCCCAATGCTTACATGAGACAAACACAATCTCAATTATTACCCAGCCTACAAAAGAAACAAACAAATCCACTCTATATAATAAATCATTTCATTATTAACTATTGAATCAAAAATGATTTAAAAGTGCTTTATCCTGCTACAAATGGATAGTTTCATGTGCTTTCATGGCAACAGATACTTATCAACCCACTAGTGGACCGAATTAACAAAAAAACTCATATTTTCAAGCCTCATAGAGTCCCAATCAAGTCTCAGATGTTTGAAGCTCTAATCTGAGTCAAGTCAGTTTGTAGCTTCAGTGTCCAAGTCTCAAACGGGACTTCCCAAGCACAAACCATGTTAACAAGATGGATTTGATGTTTAATCAGTGTAACTGTTTGTCTCAGTAATCATTTTAAACATGCAGATAAAACATTCATGCTGGTGTGATGCTCAGGTTGAGTGTTGACGTTTGGGCAGATATGATCAGAGTCTGTGTCTGAAGTCTGTGACTGTTTTTCTTGTAAACTAAAGACACAACACAATTATGTAACCCCCTGCACTTGTTGTGTTGTATCTTGATGATACATATGTACCATGTGTAGGCCCAACTGAGCTCAAAACAATGTGAATGAAGGCCAGCAGGGGACTAGGCAGGGGGGACATTCAGTACCTTTATATACACAAATAAGTCCAGCTAGAGTTAAGGCCTGACACGCTGGTTTAACTGGATATTTGTCCTTGTCCCAGTTTACATTCACTAGGCAATAATTTAATTACCCACAAAACAGTCAGCAAAATGTATTAGCAAGCAGCTAATATGATGCACGTCGACTGATGAAAACACCTCACTTTTACGGCGCCATACATTTTGTGCTACATTCCGTGTATGTAAAGTGCTTTTAAAAACAAAGTTTGATTGATTGATTTGATTGATTGGTGTCCACTTCTACACAAACTAGGATCAATAGTTTGTCAACGTCATTGTCAACGAAAACAACACTACAGAATATTTGTTTGGCGTTTGACTGATGAAATGCTCATGAATTTCGCAACAACTGTTCTAGTCTCATCTCGTCAACGTAAACGCACGTTCGTCTCGACAGATTTTAGTCATCTAGCTTGTCAGCATCACATCTTCATCGTTGAAAAAAAGGGGCGTTGAAGAAATATTGTCGTCAAAAAAAACAACACTGGTATAGGCATATATCTTTTTTTTTTTTCCTGCCTAATTTCCTGTGCCACACTCCAATCCAGTAGGTGGCGGTAATGCTCCTTAAGTTGGTTGCCAACCGCCAATAAAATAAAGAAGAATAAGAAGTAATTGAGTGCCACAGGTGACCAATCAGTGAACAAGTGGAGAATATTTAAACTGTGACTCCTCCCCCTGCTTCTCTCTTTGTGCTGCTGCTGGATGTTGGGCTGCCACAGGTATGTCTTCATTGTTTTATTTGCTGTCTTTGTGGTCTGTCAGCTCCATGTTCATAGCTTGTTTTGTGCTTCAGAACAACTGTTGTGCCTCTGGCGTGTCTGTGTGGTGAGTTTGTCTCTCCCTTTCACTTGCTGTGCTATTGTGATGCTAATCGTTGCTAATGCTAGTGTGGTCGCAGGTGAGATGCAGATAGCTGTTTGGGTCTCACTCTGTCTCTCCCTCCCCTCGGTTTTGTGTGTGTTTGTGTGCCTGCTGCTGTAGAAAAGTATGGCTATCAATGTAGGTCACAACCACAGCATTATAGTTTTTGTTATTGATACAATTTCTAAAAGGTAAGGTTGGACTAAATGATGGTCTGTCATCTGCTGTTTCTCCTGCTCTGCTTGCTGCTTTGTCATACCTCCATTTATCCCAATGACTTATCCCCCATTGCAAACTTTCACACTCAGTACCTACTGCATCACTTGTGCACTTTGTAAATATTTTTTATATGTTTATATATTTTTGTATCCTTATATTATTGTATTCTTCCAAGTACTTGTAGCGTGTTTTATCTGTACTTGTTTGAGTCAAGCGGTCCTTGTCATCCAGGGCATTTCATTGCGTTGTTGACTTTGGTTTATTTGTCATTTGCAGGTTAAACAATCTTGAATCTGCTTTGTCTCCCATTTGCTCCCTTTGGCCTCCCTGCTGCCTTTGCTCGGGCCCTTACAGCGCTTATCAGGCCTGCTGTTAGCTGTCTGTCTCCTTCCTGGAGAACTTCTATTGGTTGCATTTGTGTTTTAAAGGTGTGATTGAGCGTTGGGGATATTTGTCCTTTTTGTTTGGGTTGATTTGTTAGAGTTGGACTTCATTTTGTTTTGGGCTATTGTTTATAGGTGTATTCTTTTTGTTTGATTTATTTGGGTTTAGTGAACTTCCTACTCCTTTTTTAGCTTCCTGTTTGGTTTTTGGTAGTTTGTGGGTTTTATTTTGGGTTTGCAGGTAGTTTTTGTTTTGAAAATTTTATTTGAACAGTTAATTTATGTAAACCATAGGTTTTTTTTAAAATTTTTTTTTTTTTTTTTTTGTGTTTTGCTTGTGTTGCTTTATTATCTTGACCCCACCACTAATTGTTTTATTTCTCTTTCAGTTGCTGAGGGCCAGTGGTGGTGCTGGTGATATGCAGCTTTAGGTGGTTTCTTCCCCCTTTGTGTCCTGTGTCTCCCTGAGCGGATTTCTCCCCCCTCCTTCACTAGCCCCCTATCCATCAGGTAAGCCTCAGCACCTGTTTGTTTTTCCCCTGCCCTCCTGTGCGAGTGTCTTTAAAAACTGTTTTAAAATTTGATTTCAATAAAGTGTTCATTTTTACAACTGGAACCACGTCTCTGGCCTCCTGAGTGTTACAAACCTTTGTTCTTTTGTTGGGAAGTAAAGGAAATAATTCTGTGGGTGAAATTCCCAGGGTGGCGCTGTCTGGCAAATGGAAAACAAAATGACATTTGGTCTGACTACAAACCGATCAGTTAATGCCAGATGTGCATGGGTGCAACCTAACCAAATGTGTAAATCTTTAAGGTGAGACACGAAACCTCGGTTTCACATTAGGATCCCACTCACACTGTCCGGATTGTATCCTGCATGACCACCTGCTCACTCTACAGTTTCTTGTACTGGTTCAATCAGACCTTACTGAGTGATTCAGTGCTTTCTGCTATTCACTGCATTTCTACAAGAATATTTAAATTACAATATATTTCAAGGGCTAGCTCGAAATTGAGTGCCTCTGAAATCGCAAAGCAAAAACAATGGGCTCTCTGCACCGAGCCTCTACTTCCTGAACTTAAGGCAGCTGCTTTTATTTCTGTCTTACATATTTGGACAAACTGATTAATCCAGGTGTGTCTGAGTAGTCACAATATTCAGTCACACCTGGGTTAAACAGTTTGTCCATTAATGTGAGACAGGAAATAAAGGAGCTGCCTTAAGTGCAGGAAGTAGTGGAGCTGTGCACAGAGCCCATAAAACATACAACTGTTGTGTCACAGCCTGCAGTCATTTCATACAGAGACTGCACAACCTACTCTGACTTCTTGTGAAACACAAATTTGCTGCTTCTTGCAAGATCTTACGAAAAATAGACGTTTTTTATACAATGATTCACATATGAATGAGCTTTTGCTCCAGAAATAGTTACCCAAAACATTTCAGACACACATGGTATATGAATTAAGAGCTTTTATTATCAAAAATGGAAAAAACAAGAAAAATTGTATTCATAGTTATTGTCCTGCATGAGACAGACATATTATCCCATTATGAATTTTAACTTTCTCAATGTAAACTTTTGATTCCTGGCATTTAAAGGGGAGTTGAGCTCAAAATCTTTACTATTCTGTAAAAGAAAATCTATTCCATGTTAGTGTTTCTGTCTTATTCTTATATTTTTTGCCACATTTACCAGATATCATTTTTTAATCAGTACAGGCAATTCAGCGTATATTCTGGACTTATCAGGTGAATTTAATTTAGCAAAATAGACTCTCTTCTACAGATAAGACAAAAACACTAAAAATCATGTTTTGCAGTGTATAAAAACATCGACAGATATTTCTTTTTCAGTTCTGATCTCAGGTGAAGTGTGTTGCTTTACTCATTCAGATCACAAACAGTGTTTTACTAAATTTTCATACAGAAACATTCAGCCTAGTTTTGTAATTTTGTCTTGGTTAAATCCCCTCTCAAAATCTTCCCAGAAACAATCATCCTGAAAGCCGACCTGAACCAGCTGTAAAAGAAAGCATATATGAACGGATTCAGCATAGAGTTTGAAAGTGTCAGCCAGTTCAGGGTTTCAATAACAGGAACTGGAGCTGCGTTGCTTAAAGAAGGAAAGGTGATGCAGAGAAAAAAAGGAGTCCAACATAAGAGGAAAACTCCCAAAACAATAGCCAGAGTTTTAGTGGCTTTTCTCTCCATCTTACTGACTGTAGCTCCTGACTTTGTGCTCTGACAGGCTGTGTTCATGATTTTGCGAGCCTGTCAAAATCAGAGCTGTCTGCGCAACGAGGAAAATCTTCAGGTAGATACAAAGCATTATGATCACTGGGAAGTAAAATGATAGAATCGGTCCGATTGTGTTTTCCATGAGCTTGTCAATAAAACACAAATCATCACATTTCTCATTAAGTCCAGCAATTAAGATACCAATACCAATCAGAGCAGAACCCCCCCAGCTCATCAGAATCATGAGCACAGCTACACGATGGCTGATTTTAGCTTTATACGACAGAGGCTGACACACTGCGTAATACCTGTCGATGGAAATACAACACAGGTTCAGAATTGAACACGTGCTCAGCGACACGTCAAAACTGCTTCGTATTTTGCAAAACAAATCCTCGTGGTGCATACAGGAGCTGAGAGAAAACGCCATGCTGAGAGGAAAAACTACAATCCCAACGAGCATGTCGGCCACAGACAGAGAGAGGATGAGGAAGTTTGTCGGACTGTGCAGCTGAGTGAAGTAAATGATGGAGATTATAACGAGGAGGTTCCCAAATACGGTGACAACGGACAACAAGAAGATGAAAATATACAACACAAAGCAGACAACAGAAGGAGTGTTGGACAGAATGTAATCAAAATCATGTATTTCATAGCAAGGATGTATATTAATCACAAAAGCACTCCTGTTTTCAGAGATATTTGGCCCCATGGTTGTAGGATCCCTGTATTCAATAAGATTCAAACAAAATATTACAATATTAGCAGTTCAGAGATGAACCATCAACAACTCTGACTAAATTTAATCTGTTTGTTTCATGTATCAAACCTCTTTGGCTCTCAGTGTTGTCCATGCAGTGGTGCATGAACAGATGTCCCTGGTCTAATGCACCACGATGCAGAATCTTTATACCTACTAACTCCTCCCTTTTTATCTCTCTGATTGTCTCCTCATCATGTTTGCTTTAGGTGCAAAAAAAAAACAATAGCAAACATGATCAATTTAACACAATGGCAAAGCTTCATGTGCAAATTACCTGGTTTCCTATCAATCTAGACGAATTTAAGGGTCAAAACTTGATGTGATGCTGTTTTTTATCTTTTATCTTTTATCTGTCATCTCTTATCTCTTTTACCTCCATCTTATTTCAGCTTTACTATCTTTTTAGCTTTTGTTATACTTGTACTCTTTTCCTAATCAACCTTTTAGGCCTTTCATTGTTTTATCTCTTGCTCATTTCTGTTGCTCTATTTGATCATTACTTTTATTATCAGGAGTGCCTGTTACCTTTTATATCATCTATCCTGTTTCCGCTTTCATCCTCCTTTTTAATTGCATTTTTCCTTTTTTCTGAACTATTTTATGTATCTATTTTGATCCTCATGGTCTCGTTTTATGGTTCTTGTATTCTCTGGGCTCTTTATGACATGAAAATGGCCTTCAATTCCATTTTTACTGAGCTTTTTGTTTTTGTCTTATCTCCATGTGCTGTACGACTACATGTCAAAGCACTTTGTAAACATCTGTTTTTTTTAAAAGTTACAGATAAAGTTATTATCATTATTACTAAAACTTGACAAACTGAGCATCATAACCGTTTAGAGCCACAGTTGAAAACATGTTTCACTTGATGGCAAAGAAAGAAGCACACAGTGTTTTCAGTCACAGCAAATAACCCAAATTATTGGATAGAAGTCCCATCTATGATCAGACTAATAGCTGATCACAGTTTAGGATTTTAAGGTGTATAATAAAACTTAAGGGAGGGAGGGGACTCCTCTGTATGGAGATGGGCCACTCCTTGATAAACCCTTAAAAGGTAAGAAATTTCTTGATTTCAAAGACACTCTTATTTAGAGAAAGGTAAACCATAAAACCTCTCACTGATTGATTCTTATTCATTCTTAGTTTGTGTGTGATGACTTAAAAAAGACCTTTTTTCTACCATAAATAAAACAAGCACACTCACTAAAATCTAAGTTCTTGCAGTGTGTGTGTGTGTGTCAGCCAGATATGCATGTTCAGACTAGACCACAAGTTTGTAGTCTACATTTGTAATATGTGTTTTAAAAAGTCCTATTTGTCAACATAAAAATGCTCAATAATTTGTGCAGTTTTTATACAAGGGTGTTTTTGTCTTCTTCAGTGAAAGTTTAATAGAAACCTTGATTTCTAACTCACAGAGTTTTAGACTTTTTGAATCTGAATTTTCACATTTTGACCTGAAATCATCTTGTGATCACTATCAACAATCAATAATTTGTTAATTTTATTTATTTTCACCACATTTTTACTGCATTTTAATGTTTTTTTTTTACCTTACTTAGAGCTCATTTAGTATTCACCCTAAACTTGTCTGACTCTCTGCATAACAAAAACTTTTTCATTTGCATGAGTTGGTAGAAAAACTCACAAAGGTTGAGCTGTACCATGTAAAAGAGCAGAGTTGGTTCATCAGAATCAAAGAACTATCAAAAAAGTGAAAAAGTGTTGGATTGTTTTTTTTCCAACTGACCACAATGATTGTCTGGAGCTGTGAACATTTTTCATATCTTTGACTTGAAAGATTTATGAGACTAAAGTGTTACCAAGTGTGTAAGGATCAGATTTATAACCATGGAAACCAATGATTAAGTTCCAAAGAACTTTATTCATGCTATTTACATATTTACAACAGAACACAGAAAGAGTAAGGGTAGAAGGGAAGGAAAGAAGGTGGAAAGGTGGGTATGAAGCTGGGAAGGTGGATAGGAGGGTGGATGGGTATGAAGGTGGATAGGGGGGTATGAAGGTGGGTGGGTAGGAAGATGGGTAGGTAGGTATGAAGGTGGGTATGAAGGTAGGTGGTAGGATGGTAGGTGGTAGGAAGGTGGGTAGGATGGTAGGTGGATAGGAAGGTGGGTAGGATGGTAGGTGGTAGGAAGGTGGGTAGGATGGTAGGTGGATAGGAAGGTGGGTAGCAGGATGGGTGGATAGGAAGGTAGGTGGGTAGGAAGGTGGATAGGAGGGTATAGTAGGGTTAAAGGATGGAGGGAAGGGGGATGAAGGGGGTTGCACGGTACAAGGACAGTTATTGTTTTTTCTGTCCTCTTCTCTTCCTCTTCTTCTTCTTGTCGTGTTTTTCTTTGCTCAATATCTCTCCTTCACTCAGTTTCTCCTCCTCATCCTTTTTTGACCCCTTCTCTTCAGGGGACTTCTTCTCCTCCTGCTCCTCTTTCTTTTTCTCTTTCTCCTCCTCTTTTCTCTCTCTCTCCTCCTCTTCATTTAACATGTTCTTCACCTCCTTCTCTTGTTTACTCCTCTCCTGCTCCTCCT